GCATATAAAGAAATTACTGTAGGCCAGGGAAAGAACCTCCTGGAGGGGTAAAGATAACAGTACTTGGTGGTTGCATAGGGTCAGGAAAGGTACTTGTCCTCACCAGCCAAGGTGGGAACTGTTTGACTCATGGGACACTGATAGAGATACAGAAGAATCCTGCCTCAGTAGTAGGGAATAAATAAATCACCCTAGAATAAGCACTGCTCCAACCTCACCCAGTGTATCTTTTTTTTTTTTTGAGTTTTAATTTTAATTCCAGTTAGTTAACATACAGTATGATATTAATTTCAGGTCTATAATATAGTGATTCTTTATTACACCCAGTGCTCATCACAAGTGCACTCCTTAATCGCCATCAACTGTTTCACCCATCTCCCCTCTGGTAACCATCAGTTCATTTTCTTTAGTCTTTCTTGGTTTGCCTTTCTTTTTTTCCCCTTTGCTTGTTTTATTTCTTAAACTCCAAATATGAGTGAAATCGTATGATATTTGTCCCTGACTTGTTTCGCTTAGCATAGGATTCTCTAGTTCCATCCACATCATTGCAAATGCCAAGATTTCATTCTTTTTTGATGGCTGAGTAATAATCCATTGTGTATATATAACACATCATCTTTATCCATTCATCAGTCAATGGCTGTTTCCATAATTTGGGCTATTTACATAATTTGACTATTGTAGATAGCCCTGCTATAAGCGTCAAGTGCATGTATCCCTTTATATTAATATTTTTGTATTCTTTGGATAAATAACCTAAATATTTTTTAGGTATGTAAAAACTTAAAGAATCCATCACTAGCAGAACCACACTGCAAATAATAATCCATCATGATCATCATCATCATCATCATCCTTCAGACAAAGAAAATATTAGATGGAAATATAGACCTTAGAGAAAGGATTTGAAACTCTGGAAATGTTACTGACATGTATATATACATAAGATATTTATATTATAGAAATCTCTTTTATTTATTTATTTTTAAAGATTGTATTTATTTATTCATGAGAAACAGAGAGAAAGAGGCAGAGACACAGGCAGAGGGAGAAGTAGGCTCCATGCTGGGAGCCTGACGTGGGACTCAATCCCGGGACTCCAGGATCACACCCTGGACTGAAGGCAGGTGCTAAACCACTGAGCCACCCAGGGATCCCCCAGAAATCTCTTTTAAAATAATTGTTTAAACCAAAACAGTAACAGTATGGTTTACAACATATATAAAGTACATCTGAAGTTTATAAAATATGTAAAAGTAACTTGTATGCCAAAAATAGCATAAAGATCAAGAGGAGGAAAAAAAAAGATTAAGAGGAGAGAAATAGATGTCTACTCCTGTGCATGAGGTGCTATAACATCACTTGTAAACTGAAAAGTTTAAGATACATACTATAAACCTTAAAGTAATTACTAAGATAACAAAATAAAGAATTAATAGCTTATAAGTCAGGAAGGAAGGCAAAATAGAAATCCATACTCAACACAAATGACAGAAATAGAAGAAAAGGAGGAGCAGAGATTAGATAAGTAGAAAACAAATGCATAGATGATAGCTTTAAACCTAACTGTATCAATAATAATATATTAGTGGCCTAGACACCCAAAGAAAGCAAACTTTGTCCGATTAGATACAACTATATGCTACCTACCAAAACAAAGCACAACAAAAAACACAGTGCTCTTTAAATCTGAAGAAATAAACAGATAAAATATAAAAGAATGGAGAAAGATATACCATGATAACACTAATGGAAGAGAAGATTAGATGTCTGTAATAATGTCAAAATAGATTTCAGAGCAAAGAATATTACCATTGGTAAAGAACATCATTACACTATAGTAGAAGAGTCACTTCATCAAGACCTTGTATTTATGTGCCTAATAACATAGCTTCAAAACAGGGCAAAATCTAAAAGAAGTGGAGGAAGAAATAAAGCCACAGTTCTATTTGGGAATATCAGTACCTCCTTTTCAATAATTGGTAGAGGAAATAGACAGAAAATGACTAAAGATAAAGATTTGAATAACACTATCAACCAGATTGGCCCGATTGACATTTATATAACACTCCTGCAACAGGTATGCTTTTTAAGTACACACAGAACACTGATTTCAAGACTTATAAGCAGATAGATCAATGAAACAGAATAGACCAGGAATTGGGTAATTAGAGCTCACAGGTGAAATCCAGGGTGCCTCCTGTTTTTATAAAGTATTGTTAGAACACAACCACATTCATTTGTTTATGTATTATCTATGGCTGCTTTTGTGCTACAAACAGCAGATGGGGTAGTTCCAACAGACATTATGGTCTGCAAAGCCTAAAACATTTATTCTCTGGCTCTTTACGTAAAAAAGTTTGCCCAGCCGTGGAATAGAGTACTAAATAGACCCACACATATATGGACAACTGATTTTTGATGAAAGTGTAAAGGCAATTCGCTTGAGAAAGGATAGTTTTTCTACAAATAGTTTAGATACTATCCGTATGTAACAAAATGAACTCGAATACCTACTTTACACCATATATAAAAATTATCTCAAAATAGTTGATAGACCTGAGTATATAACCTAAAACTATAAAACTTACAACGAGAAAACATAGAAAACTTTTGAGACTTTGGGTTAGGCAAGGATTTCTCAGATACAGTACTAAAAGTATTAATTCATAGATTGGATGGACTCCATTAAAATGAAAATGTCTCCTCTTTAGAAAGCACAGTTAAAAGAATGGGAAGATAAGCCACAGATAGGGAGAAATTACGAAGGATTTTCTAATAAAGACCTTATATCTAGCATTCTATTTTTTTAAAAACTTTCTAAACATATTAATGAGAAAACAACACACCCAATTTAAAAATGAGCGAAGTATTTGGACACATCACCAAAGAAGAATATGAATATATACTTAACCATATATAGGACCTAGCTATTCAGTATTTTCCCAAGAGAAATGAAAGCTTATGTCCATGCAAAGACTTGGGACTAATATATTGTATTTATTCCACTAATACATTATGCATCTACTTACAACAAGGAAGTCAGTTCATCCAACAAATATATTGGGGTGCTTACTATGCCCGGTATGATTCTTAATGCTAGGAATACAGTAGAGAACAAAACAACAAAATTTCTTGCCTAATTTGCTAGCATTCTGTTTTAGGTGCACAGACAATGTATTAGTTTCCCAGAGTGGCTGTAACAAAGTGCCACAAACTGGATGACTTAAAATAACAGGAGTTTATTCTCTTAAGGTTCTGGAGGCCAGAAGTCCTTCTGAAACTCTTGATAGAATCTTTCCTTGCCTTTTCATTACTTCTGATGGTGGCTCTTAGTTAGCCCTTGACATTTCTTAGCTTATAGCTCTATCACTCCAATGCCTGCCTGTGTTGTCACATGGCATTGTGCCTGTGTGTTTCATAAGGATAGCCAATCATATTGTATTAAGGACCCACCCTACTCCTTTATCACATCTTAACTAATTACATCAGTCACAGCCCTATTTCCAAACAGGGTCACATGATGAGATACTGGGGGGTTAGGACATCAACATATCTTTCAGGAGGAATACACAATTCAATCCATAACAGCCAATAAAATAAGTAAATTAAATATTATTTTAGAGCAGGGGTTGGCATACTATGGTCTGCAGACCAAATCTAGTGTGCATCCTATCTTAATAAATAATTTTATTAGAATTTACCCATGCCCATTTGTTTACTATCTATAACAAAGTTGAAAAATTGCAACAGAGACCTTACTACCTACAAAACCTAAAATATTTATGGTCTGGCCCTTTACAAGAAATGTTTGCCAAATCATTTTAGAAAGTGTTAAGTGCCATTGAGAAAAAAAATAGGAAAGGGGGAAAAGCAATCCTGGGTGCTCAGGGAAGACCTGTTTGAGAAGGTGAATTTAAGAAAATGCTATAAGGAATTAATCTTTATGTATTGACTTAGAAAGGTGTCCAAATATAAGTGAAAAATGCATGTTACAGAACATTTTTGTGATCCCATTTTTGTATATTAAGAATGCATATACATGGGCGGCCCGGGTGGCTCACCGGTTTAGCGCCACCTTCAGCCCAGGGCCTGATCCTGGAGACCCGGGATCGAGTCCCACGTCAGGCTCCCCACATGGAGCCTGCTTCTCCCTCTGTCTATGTCTCTGACTCTCTCTCTCTGTATGTCTCTCATTAATAAATAAAATCTTAAAAAAAAAAGAATGCATATATTTATACAATATAATGTTGTAATATACAAATTGAAAAAGTCTTCTATAATCTCACCAAGATAACTAATGTGAACAATTTGGTGGATACTTTTGGAAAAAAGACTTGTATATGATGTATTTTCAACTTCTGTTCATTTGAAAATTTAAAAATAATTTTTCCTTTGCATTTTAATATCTCTTTGATATACATTTAATTTCTTATGTATTATTAAATTACATCAAAGGCTTAATACGTGTGAAATAGTAATGGAGGATTCAACTTCTTGCCCAAGTTTGAAGTTATCTTTTATATTTCAAAGAGGAACCACCATCATTCACACTAGAATTTAACCTGGTACTGAATTTTAGACTGAATTTTTATGTCTGTGTGCACAAAATAGTATGGCAGTTGAAGAGTCAGTAGCCTTTAACTGCTAGTGAAAGGGTAAAAGGTGTGATTCTGTTAATGATTTACTTTTACTTCCTTTGTCAAATTCAACAAAATATCCCTTTCATGTCTCTGTGACATTATGTCAACATCAGGGAAGTTTGGACTGGACATGGAGGGCTGATAATGTTTCCAAGTATTTTTCAAAACAGGACTAGGATGCTTAAATATTGTTATATAGGTGTTTATAGGATTGTTTTCTACTGAAGATCCAAGGGTATGTAAAATGGGATACTTTCAGAAAGGCTTATAGCAGGCAAAGATTTAAGAATTTATTATTATTTAATAATAAATATTATCAAAGCCAGCTTTCTGAACAAGGCTCTCCTCTCTTTATAGTGAGACCTGATGAAAAGAGCATGACCTTTGGAGACAGAAGACTTAGTTTCAAGTCCCTGTTTCTTCACTTCTTAATTTTGTGATTTGGGTACGTAACTTAAACTGTCAGAATTTTTCTTTTGTAAAGTTCCAGTAATTAATCCTTGCAATGGAAACCCATTGAATGTACAACACCATCGGGCCCTTAAGGTAAACTGTAGACTTAGGGTGATTCAAGTGTGTCAGTGTAAGTTCATCCTTGGTAAAATGTACCATTCTGGTGAGTGATACTGACCATAGCAGAAGCTATGCATGTGTAGGGGCAGAGGGTTATGGGAATTCTCTGTACCTTCCTCTCAATTTCGTTTAAACCTAAAGCTGTTCTAAAAATATAAACTCTTAAAATAATGAAATAATGATTCCTGCCCTATCCACCTCCTTTTCTAGGATATTAGGAGAATCAACTGAAGTAATTTACATAAAAGCACTTGTGTAATGTGACATAGTATGTAAGTGTTAGTATGCATTAATAATTAGTAATAATAGAATAGAGCAGAGTTGGATAATTTTTAAGATAATAATTAGTATAATGTAGGGTATGACTGACTCTTTGCATATTTATTCAAAGTAACACTGTAATGTGTATATATGATAGCATATTTAAATTGTCCCCATCCTTATCCCTGCCCAGCTTACTCATTCAACAAACATTACTTTGCCTTCTTTTTTGGCAATTGTACTTCATCTACCATTCTACAATTATAGGAGTAATGTTACTATAGTAACTAAGTTTATATTGACATTCTTCCTCCCATGAAATCTGTATCTAAGTGTATTATTCATACTTTTTCTTCTGTCCTTGCATCAAAAAGAAAAAGAGACTCAAAAATCAATCCGTAAGTAACAAAAATAATTTATAAAGGGCATAACTATTAAATATTTATTAATTATAACTCCCACTTAAGAAAATCCATGAGAATGAAAATGATTAAGAGTGATCAACTATAGGGATAATCTTGAATGTGTTCTAATTTTTAAAAACCATTTATAGACTTTATTGCTTTAATAGTGAATTACTTGTGATGCATCTTATAGCACCTTTCAACACATTACCTTGTTGAACCACTGTAGTTGGGGAATTGTCACTCTAGAAGAACCACTCAATGCTTGGAATAAACCTGTATATGTGGTTAATAATTATATTTTGGTTTTATAGAATCTTGTAAGATATATGCAGAATTCAAGGAAAATCATTGTATGCAATATGTGGTTATATGCATGGAAATATATACGTGAAAAATTCTGCCAGAGATGAAGGAGGATAAGGCTAATAATAGAAATTTAAGTTGAATATGTATTGCCAGCAAAATGAAAGGAGAGGAACAGTAAGCAGTATACTGTCAATTTGGTCCATTTTAAAACAAGCCCCAAAATGAAGTTGACTGTATTGCATTTAATATTTTAGGTAGTGCTACTGTGTTTCCATCTCTTAGGTTGGGACTATGAAATTAAGTTCCTTAATAGATGTTTCTTCACATCTCAATGACAATCTTTTAAAAATCAGGAAACATTACTTTTTATTTTTTATTTTATTTTATTTTTTTTAAATTTTTATTTACTTAGGATAGTCAGAGAGAGAGAGAGAGGCAGAGACACAGGCAGAGGGAGAAACAGGCTCCATGCACCGGGAGCCCGATGTGGGATTCGATCCCGGGTCTCCAGGATCGCGCCCTGGGCCAAAGGCAGGCGCCAAACCGCTGCGCCACCCAGGGATCCCAAACATTACTTTTTAAAAAAGATTTTATTTGAGTGACAGAGAATAAGCAGGGAGAAGGGACAGAAGTGGAGAGAGAGACAGAGAGAGAGAGAAGCAGACTCCTGCTGAGCAGGGAGTCCCATGTGGGCTCAATCCCAGGACCTGGAGATCATGACCTGAACCAAAGGCAGATGCTTAACTGACTGAGCCACCCAGGTACCCTTGCTTGCTTGCTTTTTTTTTTTTTTTTTTTAAAGATTTTATTTATTTGAGAGAGAGAGCACAAGCAAGGGGGGCAGAGGAAGAGGGAGAAGCAGACCTCGCTAAGTGCAGAGCCCGACACAGGGACACCATCCCAGGACCCTGGGATCATGCCCTGAGCTGAAGGCAGTTGCTTTACCAGCTGAGCCACTCAGGTGCCCCAGGAAACATTACTCTCTATTAAAATGTGAAGCCTACCTTTGCCTGTTTTTCTTTTACATACTTTGTTTCACAGCCCTGCTTAGGTAAATTTAATTGCTTTGTGGTAACTATAAATACTTTTATGGGATCTCTTTGTGTCAGAGTTTTGTTACAAGATTATAGTGCAGCAAGAGAAAGATTGCCAGTCTCTAGGAACCACAGAGAATCTTCCCTACACTGTGAACAAACTCCTTGGTGTAGGTGGTCTGGATGGCATGACCACATAGTACTCTCCCAGTATGCTCAGATGTTTTCTTCTTTTTGTCTTGATGAGCAGTTGAATTATGTGGATTTTTCTAATATGGGACTATTTAAAGTTAGGAAGTAAGAAATAAAACAGGTGGAGAAAAATAGTTCCTGCAACTTCATTCTTTAATCCTTTATCCTGGAATAGTCTGAACAGTTTGTGATGAGCAAATTATTTATAGAGTGATTGTTGCATGGTTAGCGGGTCAAGTTAGTATTGATATTTAATAAAAGAATACCATATTCCAGATGTAGTACTGTGAAGCCCTCATCAAGAAGTTCATAGTTTTGTAAAGTACTAAAGAAGTTACATCTCAAGTATTTTTTAATTTAAATTTAGGTTTGACTAAGTACTGAAGTCACAGGGTACAACATTGGAAAGATGCAAAGAGTATATGTAGAGGATTTCCCTTCTACCCTGGCATCTCATCCAGTGGCAACCAGTCTTTATTTTTATCCTGCTAGAGGTATTTTATGCTTATATAAGGAAATGAGTGTATGTTTTATCTCCTTTTGGGCTTCTCCCCCCAAATAACAAATATACTATTCTCTGCCTTAATAATATTTTATTTTAGATATCATTACACACCTCTAGGTAGAGATCTAGAGCTTCATCAGTTTTTTTGTAGCTACACGTATGCTATACTTGGATATACCATAATTTAACTGGTCCCCTATTCACGTGTCAACCTTTTATTATTAAAAACAATGCTACGGGGGCGCCTGGGTGGCTCAGTCAGTTAAGTGTCTGTCTTCGGTTGAGGTCATGATCCCAGGGTCACAGGATCAAGCTCTCTGCTCAGTGGGGAGCCTGCTTCTTCCTCTGCCTTTCCCTTTGCCCCTCCCTGTGCTTGTGCTTTCTCTCTCTCTCAAATGAATAAATAAAATCTTTAAAAAAAAAAAAACAGTGCTGTAGTGAATAACCTTGTATGTATTGTTTTGCTCATATCTATAGGATAAAATACTAGAAGTAGAATCATTGGATTCAAATGTGTATATATATTTTAATTTTGATTGATAATGTAAAACTGGACATAAACCTTGTCTGGGTAGTTCTTTGTTTATAATTGAGTTTTAATTTACAAACAATGAAATTCACTTTTAAATTCCCACAGTTTGTTGGGAAAGTTATGCCATTTTACACCATACTGTGCAGTGTATAAGAATGCCTTTATGTCATAGTCTCATAATACTGTGTTGATAATTTTTTAGTTTTTATATTTTTGCCAAAACTAGAAATGATACTGGGGTAGTTTTTGTTTTGTTTGTTTAGTGTTTTTACTAAGTACAACTTAACATACAATAAAGTCCACAGATCACAAGTTTACAGCTCAGTAAGTTTGGGTTTTTTTAAGGTTTTATTTATTTATTCATGAGAGACACAGTGAGAGGGTAAAAGACATAGACAGAGGGAGAAGCAAGCTCCCTGTGGGGAACTCGATGCAGAACTCAGTCCCAGGACCCTGGGATCACACCCTGAGCTGAAGGCAGATGCTTGACCACTGAGCCACTCAGGCATCCCAATCACAGTAAGTTTTAATCACTATTTAGTTCAAAGTATAGAACATGTCCAGCGTCCCAGAAGGCTCCCTTCTGCCCTCTTCCCCAACCCCCCAAAAAGATAACCACTGTTCTGATCTCTATCACCACAGATGACATTTGCCTGATTTTGAACTTTATATAGAGGGAATCATGTATAATTTTTTTGTGTCTCATTTCTTTCTTCTCTATTATATATGAAATTCAGTCATGTTGTAAGTACCTGTAGTTCATTTTCATTGCTGCAATTGAGTTACTTGAATTTTTCTGTTTTACTATATTTGTGGTTTTGGTTGCTTCTACTTTTCAGTACTTAGAAATAAAATTTGTATGTACATTCTTGTACATGTCTTTTGGAGGAGTGAAGCACTCATTTATTTTGACTCCATACTTTGGGTAGATTTGGTTGATTTAATATCTAATCTAATTAGCATTTAATTTATAAAGAATAAAATCTATCATTTTTAGTGTGCAGTTTTTAGGGAACAATTCCTCATAGGGCTTTTGAAGATTTTCTTAGAGGCTTAGAAAATAGAGATAATGTCTCTCTCTAGAGTAAAAGACAGACATGCTTATGCCCATTTTAAAAGGCCTGGTTTCCTAAGCTCAGTCTTCATCCCTGTAACATGACCCACTGGGTTTACAGGTGTTACCAGTCTCTCTTCACAGCGCTTTGTCAGAAATGGGGCCCAGGCAGCCAGCACAAGAAAATGCTAATACTATGAAAATGCTGCTCCTGGTATGAGTGATAAAGTACTCTGTCTCTGACACAAGAGTCTTGTGTCTTCGGCCAATATCCATGGAACGAGCAGGCTAAATTGTTAGCTTGCAAATAGGGTAAAATCTCAGTGCTTTCACAATTCTTGATAAAATTCAGTGAATTTTGACAAATATTTATAGAGTTTTATCACTGCCACAATGAGGTCATAGAACATTCTTACCACCCTTAGAAAGTTCTTTTGTACCTTTTTACATTTATTTCCCTTCTCCACTTCAGCCCCAGCCAGCCCCTGATCTGCTTTCTGTCACCCTGGTTGTGTCATTTATCGAATATCCCATAAATGGAATTATATAATACATAGCCTTTTATGCATGGCTTCCTTCATTCAGCTTAATGCTTTGGAGATTCATTCATGCCCTTGCATGTATCACTAGGTCATTCCCTTTTATTGCTGAGTGGTATTCTACTATATGGATGTTATTGTTTGGATATTGAGCATTTGTTTATTCTTTCTCCAGTTAAAAGACATTTTAGTTGCTTATAGTTTGGAACTATGATGAATAAAGCTGCTGTGAACATTTGAGTATAAGTCTTCATGTGGACATGTTTTTTTTAGTTCTCTTGAATACATTCTTGCAGCTTATTATTATGTTCATTTAACTTGGTAAAGAACTGCCAAATTGTTTTCCAAAGTGTTTGTATCCTCTTGCATTCCTTTCTGGGGTAGTTTTAATTTGCATCTTTCATTATGAGTAGAGTTGAAAGTATCAATCCATATGTTTAAATTATTTGTATTTCCTTTTCTATTAATTGCCTATTCAGCTCATCTTGCTGGTTTTTCTCTTAGGTGTTGGAGTTTTTTAGTGATTTGTAGGCATTCTTCATATGATGGGATTTTTTGGTCATGGTATGAATTACAAACTTTTTTTTTTTTTTTACATTTTGGCAAGTAGCTTTTGAGGTTGCTTTTGGTAGGTTTTGCCTACTAAAAGAAATTTGTCTCTCTGAATTACTTGCTAATAGCATAAGTCCTCACATGATAAAGAAACAGGATTGCTCTTTTAATTAACCTTAGAATATAAGTTGTGTTTCATCACTATTTTATGTAACCATAATTCCAGTGGGAATAAAGAAAAATATTCTGAAGAGTTAAATGTGTTTTCTGCATTCTCTAAAATTTTACCACCTTTTAGAAGACAGCTTATACAATGGAAACAAAAGCTTTAGAAATCGAGTCTTTACTTACTTTGTGTAATAAGAGAAAAATTAATAAAAATAATATTACATGTGTCTTTTACAGAAATATCTACTGCAAGATGTTGACATTGAAGATTTGGATAGTGCAAGCATTGTTTATTTTCTTCACCACTGAATCTGTAGGTAAGGCTCATGAAATACCCTACCTCCCAACCTCACAAATTAGGTTTATATATTTTTATGTAATTATATAATTATAATTTGACACGAAAAGTCACCCAGTAATCCTAAATTCTGTCTAGGTATACTAACAATAACTTTAAGGTGGGAGGGGGAAAATACGTTGTTGGTTTTTTGGTTGTTGTTTAATATATAGGAGAAAATCTGTTAACCTTTAGCGCTTCGTTTTTTTAATGGCTGTTCAGTGTTCAGTGACACCTTTAGCTGAATAAAAGGTCTGAAGCAGTACTGCTCAGACTGATCCACAGCCTGATGCCTTTGTTACTAGTTCACAATGAGATAAGTACAGAAATTAAGAATAAATGTTTAGAAACTCTTAACAGTTTGACATAGCGGTGACATCCAAGCATGTGATCATTGGACTTACCTCATCAAACATGGTATAGAGCGAAAGTATAAGTCTGTGAAAGATTGAGGATAAAAAACCAAACTGATCTTTCATCACAGATAGTTTGAAAAGCACTGCCATAAATCACCCTTTCTAAATCCGGGAACGCAGCTTCTTTTTGAACACTTTAAGTGACATAAAACTTATTTTGAAAAGTTTTTTTTTTTTTTTTTTTTTTTAGGGTGGTATAATTTTAATATATTTTATGTAAGCCTTATGATAACTGCAAGACAAAAATCTATGGCAAAATACACAAAAGAACATAAAAAAGAAATATACTGATGCCAAAAGTCTTCAAATGGCAAAAAAAAAGTAAGAATCAAGGAACAATGAATATACAAAACTCCATAAAAAAATGAACAAAGTGGTTATACTGTCATTACACATATTTTGAAAAGTTTTGTTATTTAGAAATTTTTTCCTCATTCTTGAGCCCAAATTTTCCTTCTTGTAATTTTTTCCCATTATCCTTAATTCTAGAGTAGTCCCACTTTCTCTTCCCACTGTTCAGCTCTTGAAAAATATCGAAGGACTGCTTTCATGTGTCTCTGAGGCATCTCCTGCCCAAACTAAACTTACCCAGTGTCCTAATTATTCTTTATAGGACTTGACTTCTAACTCTATATATGCTGATTACCCTTCCTGATTCTTCTCTTGGTTGCCCATAGCCCATTTGAAATAGACCATCACACCTCTCACACTTACCAGCTGTAGGACTAGGCCAGTTGCTTGATTTGTGTCAGTTCCCTGATCTATAAGATGGAGATAATAATGGTTCCTGACTCCTATGGATATTGTGAAAACTATATGAGTTACTATACTGAAGACATCTGGACAGTGCCTGGCCCACAGTAAACATTATAAAAAGGATAGTAATTATATGATTATTATTGAGGTTTGAATAAAATGCACTTAAGAAAAAAGTGAATTTAATATACCAGAACTGGACATGGTCTGAATATAGTGATTTTATTATTTACTTTGATCTGAACATCATTTTTATTTAATCAGCATAGTTTTTGCCAGCTAAGATAGACCATAGTTTTCATGGTAAGCTACTGGTCAGTGAAAATTCTTAGGTTTTCACATGGATTACTTTTAAGCCATTTCTCCCTTACTGTATGTTTATTTAATCTCAGCTTGAGTAAGAGATATTATCCTCTCTAGCAAGTTTCATTATATTAGTTTTGGCCTGTTGGTCTAATCTTTTAAAATAATTTTAATTCTAGTATTACCGTCCAAAGTGTTGGCAATTCTTCATAGTCTTGTCCTTTGCTAATTTGATATGTGTGTGTGTATATGTGTCTGTTTTCTGCCGAATTGTTAAAAACATGTTCAGAATAGCAGGACTACATTATTGCTGCCTCAGAAATTACTCAAAAACTTCATGGCTTAAAATGACAGTAATTATTTCTCAGGGTTTGTGTGTGTCAGAAATAAAGTTGGGCACAACTGGACTGTTTCATCTTTGCTTTGTGATGTCCGAGGCCTCAGCTGGAATATTCGGAGATTGGTGACTAGAATTATCTGAAGGCACATTCATTTACATGTCTAGTATTGATGCTGGCTGTAGGCTGAGGGCTTTGCTAGGCTTGTTGGCCAGAACACTATATGTGGTCTCCCCTTGTGGCCTTGGCTTCCCTGTAACGTTGGTAGGTTCCAAGGACAAATGTCCCAAGAGAAAAAGAACGGTAGTCGAAAGTTGTGTTCTTTTCATAGTCTGGCTAGTCACATAGCACATTCCATTGGCTGAGGCAGACATAAGCACCCACACAGATCTGAGGGCAGAAGGGGAATATTGACCCTATTTCTTTGTGTTGGGGGTATCGGTCACATTGTAAGAAGAGCATGTGGTATGGGGTAAATACATAGGTATGACCATGTTTGGAAAATATAGTCTACTGCAAGGACTTCAGCATATTCTACTTAAGATCTCTCTGACTTTTTTTGGTAGTATTTTTTATATATGAGTTATCAACCAATTAAGAATCTCTTAGTTTGAACCTATGAAATTTCTTTTTTTTAAGGATTTATTCATTCATTCATTCATTCATTCATTCATTCATTCATGAGAGACACAGAGAGAGGCAGAGACATAGGTGGAGGGAGAAGCAGGCTCCCCATAGGAAGCCAGATGCAGGACTCAGTCTGGGGGCTTCAGGATCACGCCCTGAGCCATTGGCAGGCACTCAACCCCTGAGCCACCCAGGCATCCGAAACCCATGAAATTTCTATTTTTGTAGATCAAGGACAGCCAGATATCAGCAGTTTTGTAATGTTTAGCTGTTATCTGTTATGGTATATACTAACCTGTATTTCTTCATCTTGTCTGAATAATTACCCCAACTAACTTTATCAAATGCTTTTTTAAAATTAAAATGCTCTCAGGACGCCTGGGTGGCTTAGTGGTTAAGCGTCTGCCTTTGGCTCAGGGTGAAATCCTGGAGTTCTAGGATTGAGTCCCACATCAGGCTCCCTGCATGGAGCCTGCTTCTTCAAGAACTCTGCCTTATGTCTTTGCCTCTCTCTCTCTCTCTCTCTCTGTGTGTGTGTGTGTGTGTGTGTGTGTGTGTGTCTCATGAATAAATCAATCAATAAAATTAAAATGCCCTTTTTATAATTTAATCTCAAATAGCCTGGTAGCCCTGTAAAAATTAGATAAATTTGGCATAGGATGATTAATGAGCCTATGTTTCACTTTGGAACATTTGCTCATTTCTAGTATTTCTCTTATTCTGTGTGATTAAAAATGACTAAGTCTGTAGTTACATCTTATGTTCTTTAGTATTTTAAACTATATTTCATATTTACTGTTCCTTATTACTTTCTCTAAATCACAGGAGTGATTTTACCAAGGAATAAAGTGAGGTCTAGGGAGTTGTAAGGACTGACTCAGTATTACAGGGTAACTTATTAGTATACCATAAGATGAAGTTGCATACATTTGGCTGTGTAGAGTAATATGTACACTGGGATTTAGTGTAGACATATATAAATAATAGTAAGGTCATATAAACAGCCCATAAGTTTTGAAACCGAGAAATACACATTCCTACTTTGGGCATTATAGGTTTTATGAGAGGTTCTGGGATTCCATTTGAGAGTATAGTTTTGACCTAAAAAACTGTTTTTAATTCTTCCTGCTGATTTTGAGAGAACCTTCCAGACCCAGTCAGTGTGACTTGATTGTCTCTGGAGAGTAATAATAATGATGATAGGCTACCATTTATTATTGGTAGACTGCTGAATACCAGGCATTGTTATAGATGCTTTACATAAGTAATTTTTAATCTCAAAACTCTTTAAGATAGCTTTTATTAACTTCATTTTCCAAGTGAAAAAACCGAACCTCAGTTAGAATGGGTAATCACCGAAGAACCCATCGGCAAATAGGGTTCGCTAGGGAAAGCTGCCTTATGCTTCTGGGCAGTGAGACTAGAATCATGCCAAGTACTTAGGATTTTATCTTGATGATAGTAGGTAGCCATTAAATAATTTAAAATAATTCAAATAGGAAATGGCATGATCATTTTGAACAGTAACTCTGATAGCAGTATATAGGGTAAACTGGAAGGAGGTCAGACTGCAATATAATGGCTTGAACTTCAGTAGGCAAAATATGGTTGGGGGTAAAGAAGTTGATAGACATATTAAGAATATAGAACCAACAAGATTTCAAGTGATATTGTTAAGTTGGAAGTTGGAAGAGATGTAGAAGGTGACTACAAGATATCTGGCCTAGGTGACTGGATATAAATAGTGCTGTTAGCAGAGGTAGAGAAATAAGAATAAGTTTGAAAGGGACTGTGATGCTTGTAGTTTTAAAAGTATTTATCCTTTTTTTTTTTTTTTTTTTTTTTAATATTTGAGAGTGGATGGGTGAGTGAGGGGAGGGGCAAAGGGGGAATCTCAAACAGACTTCCCACTGAGCACAGAGCCTGATGTAGAGCTCAGTCCGACCACCCAGGAGATGACAGCCTGAGTCAAAACCAAAAGTTGGATGTTCAACCAGCTGGGCCACCTAGGCACCCTTTAGATGTGTTCATCTTAAAGAACTTAGGGCTTATCTCAGATAGATGTGTCTCACAGGTTACTGAAAACAGTAGGAACTTAGAGCTGGAGATAGGAATCTAGTTATCATCAGCATGGAGTTAGGTGATAGTTAAAGCATATAGTTGTGGTATACTTATTTTTTATACAGGCTGATTTTTTGTTTTTTAATATGGGATTTTACCCCATTCATTTATTGTTAAAACTAATATATTTGGCCATCTTGTTCTTTAAAGTATTTTTTTTTTAATTTTTATTTACTTAGGATAGTCACACACAGAGAGAGAGAGGCAGAGACACAGGCAGAGGGAGAAGCAGGCTCCATGCACTGGGAGCCCGATGTGGGATTCGATCCCGGGTCTCCAGGATCACGCCCTGGGCCAAAGGCAGGCGCCAAACCGCTGCGCCACCCAGGAATCCCTCTAATGTTTTTTTGTTGCTCCCTTGCTGTTTCCTTTGTTGTCTGAATTTTGATAAATGAACAATGTATAATATCTTCCCTGGCCCCATCCACACCCAACAGCATTCAGGACCAGAGAGGAACAGAGCCTACCACTGCCTGTTTGCTGGGGGGGTTTAATTTAGACCCTGGGACAGGAACAGATTGGTGGTGGAGTAAGTATGAATCATGCTGTAGACAGTCTGTGTTTCCTTAAAGTGAAGTTAGAATATTATAAAGAGGGCTAAAGCTAGGATAGATTTTTTTTCATCAGCCTTATAATTTGTATATTTCTTTACAAATCAAGGCACTGAATTCTGGCCATATTATTTTTTCACTGTGTATTTCTTTTTTCCTGTCTTTCAGAGGTAGTTTAGTGAAGATTGAGGGACTGCATTGATATGAAGTATCATTTTATACCAGAATAATTCAGTCCATTTTTATATTTTCTCTTGTTCCTTTTCAGGTGAACTTCTGGATCCGTGTGGCTATATCAAACCTGAATCTCCAATTGTACAACTTGGTTCTAATTTCACTGCAGTTTGTGTGCTAAAAGAAAAATGTATGGATTATTTTCATGTGAATGCTAATTATATTTTCTGGAAAACAAACCATGTTACTATTCCCAAAGAACAATATACCATCATAAACAAAACAGCATCTAGTGTCACATTTACAGATATATCTTTATTAAATATTCAACTCACTTGCAACATTCGTACGTTTGGACAGATTGATCAGAATGTTTATGGAATCAGAATAATTTCAGGCTGTAAGTTTTATTTTGTTTTTGTTTCATTTCAAACTTTGTTTTGACTACTGAATTGCGTTTGTAATGTCTGGTTGGTCTTTAGGTAATGCATTTATTTGTTGGTTCATTGGCTTTTGTACATACTTGTTTTAAAAAAATATGTTTTGAAGTAGGACTCCATTTGCATCACTAATATACAGAAAGCCTGAAGAGTAACATAAGATTTGTATCTTTCCTGAAAGCCAAGTATCTGTCAGTTTTCTGGAAAAATGTTTTTACATGAGACCTGCAAAAAAGTAGTGTTAAATTGAAACTTCTGAGTGTATTCATAGTAACTTTTAGTATCCTTCAATTGCTGAGAAGATGCACATTTAAAGCAACTATCTGAAGAAAGTGAATAAATACTGGACAAAGTCCTTCTGTGTCATTATAAATAATATGATCCAAGAGTGGACTGTCAAATTTTTGGATCCCCAAAACCATAATTTGGTATTTGCTTTTCCTCCAGCAGAGTTTCAGAAAACAATAGGAAGAGAAGTATAAGTGAATCATACGTTTCCATTTAATTGCCTCTTACTAACATGCAGTATTACTTTTTAAAATACACTTCATGGAGAATCAGTAAATATTATTACTTATAAATGAAAGCTGATTTTATGTAGAAAATTAATTTGAAACATGCTAGTTAGTGATAGTTACAGAAAATGTGTATTAACCTAAAAATAGAAAAGATTAAGTTTTTAATTACTAATCTTTCTTTATGTCCATACGTTTTGCTCATGTTTGGTTTTTTCATCTAATTTAGGTTACAAATGTCTTGGGTAGTATATAAATTGCATATTATTTGTGGATATAAAGCTTTTTGAAAATTGCTCATTTTTCCCTTTTAGTGCCACCAGAAAAACCTACAAATTTGAGTTGCATTGTGAATGAAGGAAAGAAAATGATGTGTCAGTGGGATCCTGGAAGGGAAACATACCTGGAAACAAACTTCACTTTAAAATCTGAATGGCAAGTTTTTTATTTTTGTGTGTGTTAAACTTATAAAGTTAGTAATTTGTGCTGGAGTTTCTTTTTCTTCAAGTGGAAATATTAAATGCATATTTTTGTTTAAGCTTTTATTTTAGAACATCTGAAACATATAAAAATAGAAAGTATAATAAATTCCCATGTGTTCATCATCCAGCTTTAGTAACAATCCGCTCATGACCAGTCTTATATACCCCACCCCAAATTATCTTAAAGAAAATCATATCACCATATCATCTCATCCATAAATATTTTAGTTTATATCTTAAAAGATAGGGATACTTTTTTAAAACACATAACTATATACCATTATACCAAAATATAATTGAAGATACTTTAATTGTTGCATTTTCATTTAGTACTCCTCTTTCCTCAGATGTTTCATGAATAGATGTATATACATATTTTTAAATTTTTTTCTTTGGCTGTAGTTGACAATGTTATAATAGTTTCAGCTGTACAATGTAATGATTCAACTTTTCTATGTCTTAGGCAATACCACAACATAGCTTCTGTCATCATATAACACTATTAAAATATTATTGACTCTATTCCTTATGCCGTATCATGAATATATGTATATATTTTTACAAGTTACCAAATCACAGTCTAAATAATCTCCATGCGTTGCAAATTGATAATGTAAATCTAAATAATCTCCATGCATTTCTCTTTCTTTTTCTTTACAATTCAGTTGTTCAAGTAACAGTTATACATTGTTTAACATACTCCTCTCTTTTTTTTTCCTAGAAATTGCTATTAGATCTAGACACTTGATCAGATTTGGGATCCTTTTTTTCCCCAAAAATAATTCATAGGGGTGGTGTATACTTCTAATCAGGAACACCACATAGTGTTTGATTCTTTTTTCTCCCCTTTTGCTGCCTTTTTTTTTTAGGTGCACGCCATATTTTATCACAATTTAAAGTGGAGTAATAAGCAATTAGACAATGTATATCTACTATTTTTGTCAGTCATTTTTATCTTTTCTAGTTTTATTGTGAAATCCTTGATATACATTACTGTATAAGTTTAAAGGCATAGAGAATGGTGGTTTGATTTACCTAAATTGTGAAGTGATTACCACAGTAGGTTTAATCTAACATTCATCTTTTCGTATAGACATAATAAAAAAAAGAAGGGAAAACTTTTTCTTTGTTATAACTCATAGGATTTATTCCCTTAACATCTTTCCTATGTATTATACAGTAGCTCTCTTTTCTTTCACTTTGCATAATGTCTTCAAAGTATATCTCTGTTAATGCAAATATAGGATTTCCTCATTTTTTTATGGCTGAATAAATAGTATATTGTATGTTACCACTTTTTTATCCATTTATCCATTTTTATCCATTTATGATGGACGCTTCAGGTTGTTTTCATGTCTTGGCTGTTGGAAGTAATGTTGCTATGAATGGGGCTTGCGGTGGGGGAGGTGGTGGTGGTGGTGCTGATACCTTTTTGAGTTAGCAGTTTTGATTCATTTGAATGTATTCCCCAGAAGTGGAATTCCTGGATCATGGCCACTGTATTTTTAATATTTTTAGGATCTTCCATACTGTTTTTCATACTGGCTATAGCACTTTACAGTTTCACCAACAGAGCATAAGGGAACCGTTATGCTCCACGTGCAGACCAACATTTGTTATCTTTTTCATGATGACCAGTCTAACAGGCTTGAGGTGATACATCATTATGGTTTTAATTAATATTCTTCCCATGACAGGTGATGTTGAGTGTCTTTTCATGTACCTATTGCCCTTTCATAGATCTTTGGAGAAATGTCTGTTCAAGTCTTTTGCCAATTATTTATTGGAGTTATTTGGTTTTTTGCTGTTAGTTGCATGAGTTCTTAATATATTATGAATATTAACCCCGTATTAGGTCTAGGGCTTCCAAATATTTTTTCCTATTCTGTAGGTTGCCTTTTCTCTTTGTTGATGGTTTCTATGTGGATTTTTAGTTTCATGTAGTTCTACTTGTCTATTTTTATTTTTGCTTGTGCTTTGAGTGCTGTATTCAAAAAATTAGTACAAAGACCCATGTCACAGAGCTTTATTCCTGTGTTTTCTTCTAGGAGTTTCATGGTTTGAGATCATACATTTAAGTCTTTAATCCATTTTGAGTTAGTTTTTGTGAATGGTATGAGATAGGGGTATATTTCATTCTTTTATATGTGAATATCCAATTATCCCAGCACTAGTTATTGAAAAGAGGCTCTTTTCCCACAAGTATTCCTCTTGGCTCCCTTGTTAAATATTAATTGGCTTAATTAGTTGAAGTATGCTTGGATTTATTTCTCTCAGTTCTGTTCCATTGGTCCATTTGTTTTTATGATAGTACCATACTGTTTTGATGACTTTAACTGTGTAGTATAGCTTGAAATCAGGTAGTGTGATGTCTCTGGCATTTATTTTTATCAGGATTTTTTGACTATTCAGTCTTTTGCGTTTCCACATAAATTTTCAGAGTGTTTTTCTCTATTTTTGTAAAAAATTGGAATCTTGGTAAGGACTGCATTGAATCTGTACATGGCTTTTGGTGGTAGTAACACTTTAACAATATCAATTCTTTGAATTCATTAACACAGGGCACCTTTGCATTTATTGCATCTTTGATTTCTTTCATCAGTGTCTTATTTTTCAGAGTAGAGATCTTTTACCTCCCTAGTTAAATTTATTCCTTTTTTTTAAGATTTTATTTATTTATTCATGAGACACAGAGAGAGAGAGGCAGAAACACAGGCAGAGGGAGAAGCAGGCTCCACGCAGGGAGCCCGATGTGGGACTCGATCCTGGGTCTCCAGGATCAGACCCCTGGCTGAAGGCGGCGCTAAACTGCTGAGCCACCTGGGCTGCTGATTTATTCCTATTTCTAACAAATCTTTTGGTTGATATTTTTTGTTTTTCTGGTACTAAGATTGAGCACTGGTTTCAGTTGTCAGCTTGATCCATTTGTTATAAAATTTCCCTTTTTTTTTTTTTTGCAAGGACAGTTTTTGTTTATTGGACTTGGCTTTTTTTTTTTAAGATTTTATTTATTTATTCATGAGAGACACAGAGAGAGGGGCAGATTCATAGGCAGAGGAGAAGTAGGCTCCCTGCAGGGAGCCCAATGTGGGACACCCAATGCAGGACTAGATCTGAGGACCCTGGGATCACACCCTGAGCCAAAGACAGATACTCAACCACTGAGCCACTCAGGTGTCCCTGGACTTGGCTTTGACATGAGTGACACATTCTGCATACCCTAGTACAAATTGATCATAAAACAGTTCTTGGCACAATTTTTTATCAAATATAAAAGCTGGAAGAACTTTTTAGTGAATGTTTACACAGACCCATCACATATGTCATACAATTAACATTTTACTATATTTGCTGTATCATATATATGTTTATCTATGCATCCTTCTCCCCACCTATCCATCTTTTTTTTTTTTAAATGTATTTTAAAGTGATTTGCAGGCATTAGTATAATTCATCCTTAAACACTTTGGTGTTAACATCACTAATTAGATGTAATTAACTAGATATTTACATGTACTTTTTTGGTTTTTGGTAAAATTTATGTGTATCTTAAAATATACTTACATACCTTATGTGTATTAGTCAGTAACTTTTGACTAGTACAGTTATGTAACTCAGACCCTTACCAAGGTATAAAACATTATTCATACCCCCAGAAACTTCCCTCCTGCTCCTTCCCAGTCTAATCCACCCCCATCTCACGTCATCCCACAAGACAACTACTGAAATGATTTTCTTCACTGTAGATTTTTGCTTGTTTTGAATGTCCTGTAATGTAATCACACAGTATATACTCTTCTGTGGAAGGTTATGACTCAGCAAAACGTTTTGGGATTTAACTATATTGCTTCCCATTAGTTTTTCACTTAAAGGTTTGAGATTTTCATTGATCATTATTTGTATATGAGGTACAAAATAGTGGTATTCTTTTTTTTAAAACCTGATATACTTAAAACTTTCTTTTATTACCTGTTGGTTATCCTGAGGTACATTCATATAGAGAAGCAAAATGGTATTAATGTTTTCCCTTTCTAACCAGTTTTATAATGAGTTAGCATCCTCCACAGGTAGATAATGAAGGGTTATTCCCTTCATTTTGAATTCATATTAAGATATATTTGAGGTGTTTCAGTCCATTACCATTATTTTTATTGATACTTATATTGTCCCATCTTTGGTTTGTAGGAACTTACTCAGATTGGCTTTTCCTTTTGACTTCACTCATTAGTCTTGACAGCTTCCTTCATTTCTGATATGACATGATTTTCCAGTTTCATCTTAGTATATATGTCTTGCCCCAGACCTAAAATCAACCATTTCCCAAGTAGCCATGATTCCATTTAATACGAAATACTATTTAGAGACTATCTATTGTCTGGGTGCAAGGGGAGCTTACTGCTACTGGGTTGTTCTTTCTGAGCTTTTTCAGTAGAAAGACCTAGAAAATGTTTTTAAGGTAAAATATATCATGTACTAATACTGATGTTTCTAGTTTAAAATCTGGACTGTTTTTACTTAATTTCATCCATCTAACATCTACATCTCTTTTTTTCTGTGCTGAAAACCTCTCCAACAGCACCAATATAATTCATTTGCTTTATCTCATAGTAAACATAACAGCTGCAGAATAGTAATGCCAGTAACAGCACCAACAATATGAATACTAAAAAGAATTTTAAGATTGTTTTTATTCCACTAAGGATATAGTTAAATTACTGTTTTAAATATACTTAAAATAGTTTCCTATGTGTTATAATACCAACTCAATGGAAGAGTTCATTTGTTCATTTTACTTTTGATTTTTAGGAATTTTTAAATTAAGATATAATTGATATACAATATTTTATTTGTTTCAGGTGTGTGTACATCATAGTGATTCATAAAAGTTTCCTGTTTTGTGGTTTTGACTTGCTCTTTTATTTAAAAACTATGTGTATTTTTTTTAACTGATACATAATTTAAATATAAATGAGTAAATAGTAGTATCACTTGAAACTTTTTTGGTGATAGAAATCAGAAAGCTTTGCCTCGGTTTGACTGCAAAGAGGCTAATGGGATTTTTCTGGGGTTGACAGAAATTTTTATCCCTGTCCCCCTAGCATATTGTGTTTAGAAAAAACATATTGTACTTAAAGAAAGGCATTGCAGGTAGTTTTCTGGAATGGAAAGAAATAGTAGTAAGATTACAGGAAATAGATGATTTTTAGAGAAGTATCATTGGGGATAGAGCACAGTATTCTAAATGTAATAGTGTTCTTGGAGTAAAAATTCAAAAATAATGTGTTTTAAAATATAGATCAAACTCAGTTTTAAAGGAAAGCATATTTTTAAGAAATTTTATTTCAAGCTGTAATAATCTGGGTCTCATCAAGTAACCTTTTTCACTCTAATTTTTTAGAATCTATTTTTAATGACTGATTCTTCCATTTTTGTATTTAGGGCAACAGAGAAGTTTGCTGATTGTAAAACAAAACGTGACACACCCACCTCATGCACTGTTGATTATTCTCCTGTGTATTTTGTCAACATTGAAGTCTGGGTAGAAGCAGAGAATGCCCTTGGGAAGGTTACGTCAGATCATATAAATTTTGATCCTGTAGATAAAGGTAGTTATAAACCTGAATTTTAGAACTTATTAGGATATATAGAGTGGCTTATTAATTAAAGTGGTTTTTATCCAATAAATAAATAAAGTGATTTTTAAATTTTAATTAATATAGAAACAAGCACTTACTATCTTAGTGACTTTTAAAAATTCATTTTATCAACATTAAAAATAATCTGGAAAAATCTCAATAATCTAACTGTACTTACAGCAGTTTTCACTTTGAATGTTACCTGTTAGTATTTATGCAATTTTCAAACATTTTATAACATAGTAGTCATAGTATACATGTTTGATTTTTATTGTCTTTTTCTATACATATATCATAAATACTTTTGATAACTGAACCTAAAAAGATTAACGAGCATATAATAAATTGGCAAAGAAAAGTAAGATTTCTTTAGAAACCTTTGCTCTTCATTATATTAGTATGACATTGCATTGTTTTCAAAAAAATTAGTTCATTTGGTAAGAATGAATATTGTGAAATAAAGAAAATATAAGAAGTATGTTCGATTTTATGTAAGAAGTTGTAAAAATAAACCATGATAAACATTCAGATTTATTTTTTTTCTTTAGTGAAGCCCAGTCCACCACATAATTTGTCAGTAAGCAACTCAGAGGAACTGTCCAGTATCTTAAAATTGACATGGATCAACTCAAGTATTCAGGGTTTTATAGGACTGAAATATAACATTCAGTATAGGACCAGAGATGCCTCAACTTGGAGTCAGGTAAATTGCAAGTTTCTGTTTATGCAAATAGTCTTGCATCCCTCTAACCTAAAAGTCTCAGTGTCCTAAGATTGTGGTTATATGAAATATTTTGCTTGACATCTCCTCTTGTTCTATATTTCATAAGGGCAAACAGGAGGACTTTCAGATAAAAAATAGAGTTTTACTGAGTACAGTAGCTTTTAAGAGAAGTATGGAAGCGATACAAGGTGATAAGGAATAGTATTTTTTTTTAAGGTTTTATATATTTATTTGAGAGAGAAAACATATGGGCTGGGGGGAGGGGCAGAGGGAGAAGCAGACTCCCCACTGAGCAGGGAACCCAAGGTGGTGCTTGATCCCAGGACTCTGAGGTCCTCACCTGAGCCGGAGGCAGACCCTTTGACTCAGCCACCCAGGTACCCCAGAAATAATACTTTTGATGGAAGGCTAAAGGAACATAAAAAATAAGCATATTAAGTGGGGGAATATATGAAGAGATTATATAACTAAAGTAGAGTAGGGGTTGGCAAACTACATCTGCAAGCCAATTTCAGCCTGCTTTGTTTTTATAAATAAAATGTTATTGGAACACAGCCACACTCTTTTTTTAATATTGTCTTTGGCTATTTTGTGCTACAGTGCACAAGTTGAGTAGTTAGAGCAGAGACCATATGACCCATAGCATAAAGTATTTACTATCTAGCCATTTTTAGAAAATTTGTCAACCTCTTAGTAGAGGAAGGAGTTGTTGGGAACTTATAGGACTGAAAAGGAACAGTGAACCAAAGATGATGCTGTCACCGAAAGAAGTGCTTGGAACTATTTAAAAGACGATCACCATAGCTTTGTGCTCCCCAACGATATTCTTTGTTATAGCTTCATTTGTCACTAACAGTATGCTTTTGCTTTCTCTGGTTGCAATAATGAGCTCATAAGGGATTTGAGCCCATAACCTTAATACTTCTGCTCTCCTTTCCACTTATCTAAAAGGCTACTCAAAATAAAATTAGAAAAAGCAACAAATGAAAATGGCTCAATGCCTCATGTTTTACAGAGAGTATACATACCTGGACTTCAAAATATTTTTTGATATCATAGAATCTTAATTCTTTGATACAAAAAAGTTGATATACCTATTTTGTATTCAATATTGAAATCTCAGAGTAGTACAATCAGTTATCTATATATTCTCTTTTCCTGAAAACCAAGTTTATATACAATGATACCTTTTGCTTTTCTTGATTGAGCTGGATATCTTCCTTTTGCCTATCCAGAGCTGTACTCTGTTCTTCTCTACCTTACTCTGTCTTGGAATGCTGATCCGTGTGAATTTCATCTGCGGATTCACATTCTCTCTGGTTTCCTCATGAATATGGTTAGTGGGAGCCAGAGGGTCTGATGAAAGAGGAGGGAAGAAAAGTGAGATCAGCATATTTATTTTCCCTGCTTCCTTCCTGGAGCTGCCCATGTCTTTCAACCTAAGGCCACTGCTCCTCTCAAGTTAACCCCAACTGACTCTTCTCCCAGTTTCTGGTACCTCGCCTCATTGGGCCTACGGGTGATAATAGCTACAAGCCCCAAAGTCCTGACCACTGTCTAAGGTTTCCCTCCATTCTGCCCATACTTCCTTTAGTAAACTCTTCTTGAATTAAATTCTAATTGGAACATACCATCTTTTTCCTGCTAAGTGGTAGAGGCCCCATGGAAGAAAGAAAGAAAAATAAATGATTAATAATAGATACTTCCATACTTCCTAAATCTATTAACTTCACTAATTTAGACTGCTTTTGGACTTGCACTTATTTCTTTCCAGAGCTTGAGTTTATTCTCATTTCATTAAATCACTTTCTAAAATCTTAGGGAATTTAGGACCCTTACAATAAATACCACTGGATTTTTTGTTGGCTGATGTGCTTTGATTTCAGATTCCTCCTGAAGATACAGCATCCACCCGATACTCATTCACTGTCCAGGACCTTAAACCTTTTACAGAATATGTGTTTAGGATTCGTTGTATGAAGGAAGATGGTAAAGGATTCTGGAGTGACTGGAGTGAAGAAGCAAGTGGTATCACATATGAAGATAGTGAGTAATTAAGATATATGAAGAAATAAAGGTTTTGGAATTGCGGCTATGCATTGTGCCTGGCTTCAATAATTAAGACCTCATTGCTTTATTTTTGTGATTATTTTATTCAAATTTACATGTTACAGTTTTATTTTAAGGACATCAAGATATAAAATGTACATTGATAGTATAAATCTATTTGATTTTTAATAAAGAAAATTATCATGGAATGACCATGAGAAAACTGTTGACCTAACAGTTAAGTCTAGAACATTTTATTAAAGGACAGTGGTTCAGAGATGTCCCTATATAGAGAATCATATCCTGAGTCATTAAAATCATACTAGCAAAATGTACCATAGTCCCTCACTATCATAAATATGTTTATACTATTATGTTTTTTTCTACCAGCACTTAAACCCCTTGAAAAGGACCCTGGAGTTTTGGTTGGTTTATTTTCATTTTCCTTTTTTCCCTCCATGATCATATAGGGCATATAGTACAGAATCCTAAAGGGTATAGGGTCTAAGGTAAGATTCCCTGCCCAGAGCAGTTAACATCACTGAGTTCTTTTGTAGCAGTCAAGAAATAGTCCTGTGGCATAAAGATTTTTCTTTTTGAACATTTTTCTTTAATAGTCTCACCTTTCATGTGTCAATGGCAACAGCTATGTCTGTAAATCCTCCTATAACCACCTCTATTCTTTCATTTCCAGCTCCACTAGATAGTGAAGTCAACGTGTGAAAGGTAGAAAAGTAAAGTGCCCTTCTTCACAAAGAATTTTCTTTTATTCTCATAAATGACATGAAAGAAAGCAATTCTGCTATTGCTGATTTGGGAGTTCTCAACCGGATTTCTTTGTCTTGGCCAGGAATTCTTACTGGAATCATTGGGGCATTGAAAGTTAGTGGGTCAGTCTGGGGAGTGTGAGGGGTGGGTTCCAGAACTACTTTAAAGTGTAGACAAAATATTATGGTTAGTGCCTATATGTATTTTCTGGAGAGATGGTACTACATAATCTTTATCAAAGAGATACCTGGAAAATGATGAACCATTAAATTAAGCATTTCTTCAACTTAATGAATGATGCCTCTAGGTTCTTCTTATGTTAGGAAGTCTTTCTGGCCTGTAACATTTCTTAGAGTTTCTTGGTCTTTATTTTGTATACTCATGTATGTATATCTGTTTGAACCCCCTGTACTGGCAGCCTTGACCTCCCTCATCTGCCTTGCCTTTTTTTCTCTATTTTGTCCTCCATAATTACCTTTTTATAATCAGCATATCACTGCTTAGATTTTGTTCAGATCCTTTTTTATTCTATTGAGTGCCATATCTTATAATTGCATTTATAAAAAATTTGAAAAATCAGTTGATTCCATAGGAATTTTTAAAACCTAATTACTAGCATTTGATACTTGGTTTTATAAAGTGGACTTTCATTTTTCACATTGATTGGTGATTATCAGAAAATGCTGTGAATTCATTTTTATTATATCCTATAAACAATCATCCCAACATAAGGTAATAAACTTAGCCCACATTTACCCCATTTATTTTGTTTTGTATTCTTACATATATGAATTCAGGAGTTTTAAGTATATATCTAAATATAATTTTTCAACTTGATTTTTAGCAGTAAGAAATGGTGATGCATCTTTGGTTATACCTTAGGATATATTTGTAGCTTTACAATTTTAAGATTAGAAAAGCATTCCAGCATAATTAAATTATCAAGCTATCTGTCATTCTGACTAAAGGAAGACCCAGGCATAGCATGCTAGGGTGCGGAAAAATGCTAGTTTAAACAAAGAGAGATACCATGTGACTGAAGGGCAAGAATATTAAGAACAAAATAAGAATAATCTCCGAGATTATATTTTAATGTTAAAAACTTTTATTTTAAAAAGTTTATGTCATTTCTTTAGGACCATCCAAGGCACCAAGTTTCTGGTATAAGATAGAGCCATCTCATACTCATGGCTATAGATCTGTACAACTCATATGGAAGGTAAAAAACAAAAATTGCATGTTTATATTCTTTTTCACTTACATAAATACATTTTTATGGCATTATGAGTATAGTTTTTTAACTTCAAATTTTATTCATCTTAATATCAGGAAAACATTTGATAACATACAAACACAAAGCCTCGTGTGTACTACATAAAAGAGCATAAGCTGCAGGTTATATCTCATAGATAATTTAGGACAATTCTATGGAAGTTTTATAAGAAGGATCTTGTCTATCATTGAACTTTCCTCAGTTTCATAGAAAATAATTATTAGAGGTTTTGAGTAATCAAAATATATGCCAGTAATAGGAAATATAAAATTATGCCAGTAATAGGAAATAAAGAATTATTGTCAACTCCATAAATGCAAATGTATCATACAAGAGAAAGAAAGAAAGAAAGAAAGAAAAGAAAGAAAGAAAAGAAAAGAAAAGAAAAGAAAGAAAAATACTCAAGCATAAAATAATTTAGGGCCAGATAGTCACAGTGCAGAAACCTAAAAGCTAACAAAACGGTGCTACTTTCCTGCCTAGTCAAAGTCATAGGTTTACTCATTTACTATGTAGTAGTTTTACTTAGGATAGTGAGTTGTAAATAAGGTTGCCAGTACCTTTCAGTTAAACATTTAGAGGTTTGACATAACAAAATTTGTGAACATCGAGAAAAATGATTAGCTTTATTAAAGAGTTGTTAAACATATTTTAAAAAATAAACTATCTTATTATAGACATTGCCTCCTTTTGAAGCTAATGGAAAAATTTTGGATTATGAAGTGACTCTCACAAGATGGAAATCACGTTTGCAGAATTACACAGTTAATGACACAAAATGGACAGTAAACATCACAAATGATCGTTATATAGCGACTCTGACAGCAAGAAATCTGGTTGGCAAATCAAATGCAGCTGTTTTAACTATCCCTGCCTATGACTTTCAAGGTTTGTGTCTGTGAGTTGGAGTCAGACTTATGGGTGGAAAATGGCAGTTGATAATATATAAGACAGGGGCAACCCGGGTGGCTCAGCAGTTTAGCATCGCCTTCGGCCCAGGGCATGATCCTGGAGACCTGGGATCGAGTCCCACATCTGGCTCCCTGCCTGGAGCCTGCTTCTTCCTCTGCCTGTGTCTCTGTCTCTCTCTGTGTCTCTTATGATTAAATAAATAAAATCTTTAAAAATATATATATATAAGATATTCTAAGGCATAATACATAATGATTCTAAGTCAACAGCCACATAGTTTGTTCCATTATTATGCACCTCACTTAAACTTTGAAGTAATTTTCTGATTTCTTATCTGGTTTTTTTTAAATATTACTTTAAGGCTCTGGGAACCATAGACGAATATCACTTAGATATATTTATTGCTTTAAAGAAGAAAAATTGCCATTTACCTATAGAAAAGATTTGAAGAATTTTGAGAAAATTTTCGTTTCAAAATAAATTATCTATGTGTAAATTATGATAAAGTGCTTTTATTCATGAAAATACATAGTAATATTATAGGCTACAAAATTCGATAGCAAGGTTACATGGTCAAGCAAATGTAAAATATCAAAATTTCAAATTTTTAAATGTTCATTTATCATATCAGTATTCAAACTTTGTTTTAAAGCTACTCGCCCTGTAACGGATCTTAAAGCATTTCCCAAAGATAATATGCTTTGGGTAGAATGGACTGCTCCAAATGAATCTGTAAACAAATACATACTTGAGTGGTGTGTATTATCAGATAAAGCACCTTGTATCCAAGACTGGCAACAAGAAGATGGTACTGTACACCGCACCTATTTAAGAGGTATACCCAGCTAGAAGAAATTTAAATTGATATCCTTTGTGTAACTCTTCAGATAGATTTTTCTTTTACATATTTTTTCATGCTTTATAGATGTTGTGGTCCATTGAAAAGATTGTCAATTTGTGGCAGTTACTGATTACATCTAGTTTTCTAGATGTGTGTCTCTCACACTGTCACATTTAACCTCTCTCAATTGTAGGGTCTGTTTATCAACAAAATGTGGTTAGTAGTATCTTCTTTTTATAACTAAGTATTTTGATCATCAAAGAAACACTTAACGGTAAAGGAAAAGAAATCTAATCTGACCTCTGATGGTACTTAGTTGCATGTTTTCTCTACCTGATTTAACTCCCTCCTCCTGCAGTGAGAAAATAATTTCTTGTAGCATCTGAATGACTTGTTAACCTCTTAAAAATGTTGAATAGGGGGAACCAGAACTAGAACTCAGATTTCCTTATGTCTTTTAACTGTAAGTTATAATGGAGGACAGAAAGTAATGATGTGGTAGAGCTCCAAAATGGTGGATTGCTCTTTGTTTTAAGGTACAACTTAATACATAATTTTAAAGTGATAAAACAACTTTAAAGAGAAAACATTCTGCTTGAATCTGGGTTTTTGGTTTTTTGGGGTTTTTTTAGTGAAGAAGTATAAACATTAGAATTCAGCTATGAATAATAGGATTAATTAGAGAAAAGTTGTAAAACAAGAACATATCTGCCATAAAGTTTGTGAGTTTTATTTATAAAATAGGCTATTTGGCCCTCATTAACCTCTTATTTATTAAACAATTTTAATAAATTTTATTGTGTTTATCAGCCTTATCAAATTAAAAACCAGGTGGAGCTAGAGAGAAGATACATGTTGATAGTAACTGGACAATAGAAATGTTTTTAAGAAAGCATGGCATAATCTCCAGAGACCTTCAGGTTGCACAGGGAGCCCCAAAGCTCAATAGCTCTTACAACATCACTGTATTACAGCAGAATATAACACTTAATCATTATCTTCCTGATAATATTGAGTCAAGAAAAAGTAAAATTACTCTGTTTAAGAAAGCAAAAGAGCATATATAACTTCATGAATAATGCTTAAGGAAATAGAAGTTCTTGTTGAATGTATAAGCTTCAGTATAACAAATACCTTATTTTCTGTTGTGGACAGATAAAATTCTATATAAAAAGAAAGATTAAAAGATTTTACTATTGTATATTAAAGGAATAGATACTTTGTTAATATGAAGAGATTATAAAGAGATATTCAAGATAACTTTTTATTCTGAAACTTTTTTTTACTTTCTGGGGGAAATTACATGAATTCTTTTTTTCCCAGTTGCCTGACAAACCAGGACCATTTTCCTAGCTCTTACCAGTGAGTCTTTAGGCAGTTCTCAGATAATTAGTTAATATATACAAACACTGTCAAGCTATAAGGCCAAGAATAATTCAAAATCAGTATTTTAGAAGTTCTGGATATAAATATAATTACTTTTACTGACAGTATATTTTTATATACATCATATTGGCAATAAAAGTAAGCTTTTACTTTCATAAATAGCTTTACTCTATTAAGCTTGAATCCATTACACAAAAAGCAATGCTTACTTTAAAAACTGCAGTTAGAAAAGAAAGTTCAATAACCATGAAATTATAATGTAAAAATAAATAATGGAATTAGACTCTTTTTTCTTATGGGGGGAAAAAATGCTTACTCTCCTATTCTTTCTTTAGGAAACCTAGCAGAGAGCAAATGTTATTTGATAACAGTTACTCCAGTGTATGCTGATGGACCAGGAAGCACTGAGTCCATAAAAGCTTACCTTAAGCAAGCTCGTAAGTCCAAACTCATTTTCTTTGAATTGTGTTGAGGGATCCCTGGGTGGCTCAGCGGTTTGTTGCCTGCCTTCTTCGGCCCAGGGCGTGATCCTGGAAACCCGGGTTTGAATCCTACATCAGGCTCCCTGCATGGAGTCTGCTTCTCCCTCTGCCTGTGTCTCTGCCTATCTCTCTCTCTCTCTCTCTCTCTCTTTCTATCTCTACCTCTATCTCTCAAGAATATATAAAATCTTTAAAAAAAAATGGAATGTGTTGAAATTTCTGTTAACAAAGATATTTTATCTTTTTAAAATAAGGGGGTGTCTCATAATGTTCAAATATCATAATGAAATTTTGGCAAATTTTAGTGATAGACTGAATCGTAATGATTTTCAGTTATCAAATACTTTTATTCTGTTCTAGCACCTTCCAAAGGACCTACTGTTCGGACAAAAAAAGTGGGGAAAAATGAAGCTGTCTTAGAGTGGGACCAACTTCCTGTTGATGTTCAGAATGGATTTATCCGAAATTATACTATATTTTATAGAACAATCATTGGAAATGAAACTGGTAATGAAACTATCAGTTATTAAGAATTACTGGGTTTTTTTCTTAAGGTTTTAGATACTAAGTCTCACCTTATGTTATACATCTTAGTAGGGTATATTAACCTCAGAAAAGAGACACCTGAGAACATGCCTTGTGGTGGCTCTCATGGTTATATTGAAGACATACTGTGTTATGATTGTAAAATATTGTCAGATACAAAAGTTTTCTGAAAAATATATTTTTATTCCTTTTTAATACTTTTGCAATGTCAAATAAAAGCCAAATCAAGCAGAGACATTGAGTAGTAATAAAGCACACCTCTTGATTTCTTCTAGCTGTGAATGTGGATTCTTCCCACACAGAATATACACTGTCCTCTTTGACCAGTGACACTTTGTACATGGTACGAATGGCAGCATACACAGACGAAGGTGGAAAGGATGGCCCAGAATTCACTTTTACTACACCAAAGTTTGGTAAGAAATAATGATGTTTGCTCTTTTCTGTTTTCTTTTTAAAATTTAATCAGATTAAAAACCAGCTTAGTTAATAAGCTAAAATTTTGTTAAAAGTGCGTCTTTGGATTCATAGAAATGCACTGTCCATAAATAATGGTCTTTGTACTGCTTATCTGATTTTGGTTGTTTCTTTAAACTGTCAAAACTCACCTCTGTTATTTCATGAACTGCTTCTGACTGATTTCATCTATACTCTATAAATGCCAAAAGAATTTGTGTTTCTTTCTAAGTGATTCATATATTCACTGGCTAAAGTCAACTGTGGTCTCTTTCCTCCTTCTCTTATTGCTTCTTTTTATAGGCAGGCTGCTGGAAAGATGAGTCCACCCTTGCAGGCTCCACTTCCATTCCTCCACTCAGTCTTTAACTTGCTAAAAACAGGACTCCAACTCACCACTCCACTGAAATCTCCCTGATGTCACTCAGGGAAGACCTCCTAGTTATGATCTCCAGAGCATGTTTTTAGTCTTCTTTTTTCTGTACTTCTCAGCATTTGACTCTTGGCTTCTCCATCCTTGAAACTGCCTCTTCCCTTGGTTCTTCTAACTTCTTTTTGTAATAGCAAATTTATTCTCCTTCTCCTGAGTCTTCTCCCTCTCTACTTCCTTCTTGGCCTCCTTTTCGCTCTTTTTAAAAATGGTTTGTATTTTCCAGAACTCTGTTCTCAATCCTCTTTTATTATCTACCTATTCACACTCCCTGTCCATGACTTCAGCCATCCTTTCTCTCCTTCCCAATACATTTCTCTTTTCCCTGCCACATGCAAGTCTTTGCCAAAGCCAGAGATTTAGATAAGGATATAGTAAATTTCTTCCTTTCTTTATGCTTACATAAGCCAAGTATAAAGTCCTGTTGATCATGTCTTCTAATTACTGCTTTTGCATGCCCTTTCATAGTCTCTTTCCTTGACCCTAAGCTTCTCATGATTTTCTCCATCTTTTTGTCTTTTCCTACTCACCTTCTCTTGTTTTGCCTGTTCCTGTAGCATCCCTAAGGCAGACTGAAGCTGCATTCTTTAGTCCTACTACATTTTTAATCATTACAGAAATTACCTTATTTTATTGTAATTGTATTTGTAACCCCCAGCCCCAAGTACCAGCACAGCAATTGATAAATAGAAACTCCATATCCCTTGTTGATTGAATGGTTGCTGAAAGAGAAAATGAATGAATAATTACATAAAATAGATGATAAAAGATCCTGAGCTTTGCTGGGATAGCCAGTAATGAATATAATTTCTGAATAAGATTTGTGGTGACATATTAACAAAATATATATGTAACAAGTAATATTTGAAATTGATCTTTAGAAAAAAAAATAAACTTTTAAAATATTATCCAGATTATGAAAGTAACATTCATTAATGGGAGTAGACTGCATCCTATATTGTCCTCTAAACTATACCATAAAATACAGAAAAGAAAAATCACTTCTAATCCCTCATCCAGAATAATCTCTTAACATATTTGTATAGTCTTCTAGTATTTTCTATGCATACCTTTTTTTTCTAAAAATTAGAGCATATGTGTTAGGATTACTTCATCATCTGCTGTTTTCTCTGATCTGTTTATTGTTTTATGGATCTATTATGATGTCATATAACATGCTCCCAAAGGACCTTACAGCTTATTTGAAGAAATACAGCATAAGTAAAATAATTAAATGGAAAAGCATTTGGGTTGTGTAGGCAGTAGATAGAGTAGGAATTTAAAGGGGAGGAGTTTCATCTTCAAAGAAAGGAGAGAGTACTTGAGCCTCAAGATTAGGATGTGGACAAATAGGAGGAGGAGGGCATCTTAGGACAGAATGAGCAAAGGTCCAAGACATAAGAACATAGTAAATTGAGCAGCAGTAAAGAAAGGTTCTGCCTGAATTCAATTTGGTATATATATGAAACCTGAGTGTACAAGAGTTAGTATATGCCAATCTATAGTCTGTTGATCTGATTTACTGATTTGTGTGTTAGGCTTCATAGAAAATCAAGTTACCTACAAAGGGATATGTGTGGTGCAAAGATTAGAGTAAATGAATAGTATGTGACTCCAATATTTTATAAATTTTTCCCATAAAATACTAATTAGAAGGAGACTGGAGGAGTTAACCTGAGACAACCAGAAGATAAATCATTAAAAAATATCTCCACAATATAAACTATCCAATTAGTGATTCATTTGATTAAGTCAGCCCTCTTTTAAATGCAGATTAGGGATCATCTGCTATTTAGAAATCTTATGCTTACTGGTTTTTAGGTGCTTCCACTCCTGGTGCTTAAGATTCTTAAAAATTCTGGGGCACCTGGGTGGCTCAGTTGGTTAAGCATCTGCCTTTGGCTTAGGTCATGATCCTGGAGCCCTGGGATCGAGCCCTGTCTAGCGCTCCCCACTAAGCAAGAAGCCTGTTTCTCTCTCTCCTGCTCCTCCTCACCTCCTGTGCTCTCTTCTCTCTCTCAAAGAAGTAATATCTTAAATTAAATAAAAAAAGAGATTCTGGGGATCCCTGGGTGGCGCAGCGGTTTGGCGCCTGCCTTTGGCCCAGGGCGCGATCCTGGAGACCCTGGATCGAATCCCACATCGGGCTCCCGGTGCATGGAGCCTGCTTCTCCCTCTGCCTGTGTCTCTGCCTCTCTCTCTCTCTCTGACTATCATAAATAAATAAAAATTATAAAAAAAAGAGATTCTTATAAATCCTTAGCCGTTTATCGGATATGCCATCTTTTTTTTTTTTTAAGATATACTTACTTATTTAAGAGAGAGAGAGAGCACACATGAGCAAGCATGTGGTGGGGGAGAGGGAGGAGCAGAAAGAAGGAGAGAATCTCCTGCAGACCCCTTGCTGAGTGCAGAGCCTGATGCAGGACTCAGTTCCACCACCCTGAGATCATGACCTCAGCCAAAATCAAGAGTTAGACGCTTAACCAACTGAGCCACCCAGGTGCCCCAATGACATCTATTTCAAAATAGTAAATAACTACTAAAAATTTTGCTTGAACCTTTATCTCTTATAGAGGATCACAGTGCAACTTTTCCACTTCTCCACAGAACTCAAACAGACCTCAAAGATAAGGTTTTGTTAAGGCTCTGCTGAGGGGAAATCATAAATGTAATAATTAGGTTTGGAAGCTTTAACTTATTGGTAGATTGTCTGTCCAGTAAGATAAACTAGTCATTTTATTCCCCTAACCAACATACAGTTTATCTTACCCTGTGGCCAGGTTACTGTGTAAGGTATAAGGGGCTAGGATATCATTTACCAAGGAAAGAGGGGGAGAAAATAGCCTCTAACTTTGAAAGAGCTATAAAAACAGGATGGTATTTTGTCTTTTCAACAGTCCTCTCTGGCTGGGAAGTTTCATTATTTGTGTTAGTACGTGTGCTGACAATTCTTTTCTTTTTTTTTTTTTTTTCCTTCTTATCTCTGTTTTTTAGCTCAAGGAGAAATTGAAGCCATAGTTGTACCTGTTTGTTTAGCATTCCTGTTGACTACTCTTTTGGGAGTATTGTTCTGCTTTAATAAGCGAGACCTGTAAGTACCCCTATTTTTATTTTTGGTGTTTTTTTCCTGGGTTTATGCTCTGTTCTCTCCCTCAACCCCTAGCCCCACATAATCACTGATCTGCTTTCTGTGACTGTAGATTTGCCTTTTCTAGGATTTCATACAGAGTCAAATAATATGTAGTCTTATTTTTATATAGTGTTTCTGAGACTCATTGTTGCATATACTCCTATTTTTCTATTTATTGAATAGTAATCTATAGATATATCAAAGTTTGTTCATATATCTGGTATGGAAATTCGGGTTGTTTCTTTGAATTGGGGCTATTGTGAATAGTGTTGCCATGAACATTCACCTACAGAGCTTTGTGTGGACATATAATTTATCTTGTGAAAAAGCTAGTAGTGGGATTGCTGGTCATATAGTAAGTGCCTATTTAACTTTATAAGAAACTGTCAAACTATTTTTCAAAGCAGATACACCATCTTGTAGTCTCACCAGCTCTGTGAGTTCCAGTTTCATATTATCAACACTTGGTACAGTCAGGGTTTTTAATTTTAGCTAGTTTCTTATTGGTGTTAATGCCATTTTTACATTGGGTTATTTGCCTTAATATTGAACTTAGGAGTTCTTTATGTATTCTGAGTACAAAATTATTGTCAAATGTATTTTGGAAAGTCTGGTCTTCTGGCTTTTCTCATTTTCTTCACTGTGACTTTAGAAAAACAAGGTTTTTGATTGTCATGAAGTCCATTTTATCAATTTTTTTGTGATTCTTGTTTTATGTCCTATGTAGGAAATCTTTACCTAAGTCAGTGTCACGAATACGTTGTTTTCCTCTAGAACTATAATCATTTTAGCCATATATCTGTGATATAATCAGAATTTCATGAGGTCAGGGTCAAAGTTCTTTTTTTGTCATAGATAACTAGTTAGTTGCTCCAGCCTTACGTGCTGAAAATACTTGTATTGCCTAGATATCTTTGCCAAAATCAATTTTCCATGTAAGTCTGGATTTGTGGATTCTCAATTCTATTCAATTGATCTATATGTCTATTCATCCCAATACCATACTGTCTTGATTTTTACTACTCTATAATAAGCTTGAAAGCAGCTAGTAGAATTCTTACAATATTTTTCAAAATTATTTTGGCTAGGTTCTTTCATAAGCTTATAATATTTATGGAAAGGAATTTCCTTTAAAAACTGAGATTTTATTGAATCTGTAAATCGGTTCAGAGAAAAAAATGTAATCTGAACAGGAGTTTGCATCTTCATAAGTCACCCTTTCAGTCCAGGAACATGTTAATTCTTTAGATTTTCTTTAATTTTCTTTTGTAGTGTGTTGTGGTTTCCAGTGGATAATGAGCCTTATACATCTTATGTTAAATTTATTCCTAAATATTTTTTATACAATTGTAAATGGCATTTTGAGAAATTTTTATTTTCTAGTCACTCATTGCTAGAAATGCGATTTTTAAAAATATATTGTCCTTATATACTAAGACCTGGGTACATTCATCTACTCTAGTCCCTTTTTGGATTTCTTAGCATTTTCACTGCTCACCAGTAAAGATGGTTATTCTGATGTTTATGTTTTCATTTACTTTTATTATACTGATTGAGTAGTAACTTTTCATTATCCCCAATTTTAAGAGAAAAAGCATTGATCAGTCTTGATCATTATGTGTGATGTGGTTTTAAATTGAGAAAGTTGGGATCTCTGGGTGGCGCAGCAGTTTGGCCCCTGCCTTTGGCCCAGGGCGTGATCCTGGAGACCCGGGATCGAATCGAATCCCACGTCGGGCTCCCAGTGCATGGAGCCTGCTTCTCCCTCTGCCTGTGTCTCTGCCTCTCTCTCTCTCTCTGTCTTCTCTCTCTCTCTCTCTCTCTCTCTGTGTGTGTGTGTGACTATAATTAATTAATTAATTAATTAATTGAGAAAGTTCTCTTATATTTCTATTTTGCTGAGAGTTTTTGTCATCATTAAGTGCTACATTTTGTCAGGTGCTTTTTTGGCATCTGTTGAGATGATCATACTATTTTTCTCCTTCCTACACATATGATGAATTTTATTCGTTGTTTTTTTTTTTTTTTTCATGTACTAAACCATCCTTGCATTTCTTAGACTTTTCTGGATTCATTGTGTTAATTTTTGCATTTATGTTTCATGAGTGATGTTAGTCTGGTCTCTTTTGTGGTGTCTTTATCTACTTTTGAAATCAGGGTAATAGTAATTACCTCATAAAATGAATAGCCTCATCAAATTAATGGGGACACATTGCCTTCTCTGTTTTCTGGGAGAGTTTACATAGGATTCATATTATTTCTCTCTTTAAGTGTTTGCTAGAATTTACCAATCCATTTGAGCCTAAAATTTTCCTATGGGAGGAAGGTTAATTTAACTGAGATTTTCTTTCAGTCCGTTTCCAGGAATTCACCTATTGACAGGTTGGTCTTTTTGTTTAGGTTGTTAACTTTATTGCTTTTTATGTTACACCCAGATTGTTATAGTAGTTTCCACAGGACAGTCAGTCTAGTCTGTTAGGATCTTATTACTCATTTTTATTTTTATATTTGAACCTATTCTCAAGATGACTCACTTCCTGTATACTTAATATACACTTAGGGACCTCTAACTTTGAGCTAGGAATTATATTAAGGGAAATAATCTTGTGAAAAACCAAATTTATCATGTTTTATCTGGTAACTATGTGATAATTTATTATTTGATTTTAGTTGGAAATGGAACACTTTTGCTTTTTTTGTTGTTGGGAAGGGGGTGTACTATAAAGTTTTGTGACTTGGCTCAACTTTTAATTGGTTTTTATTGCATGAATCTAAATTCATGTTTAGAATTAGGGACTATTATTTACTGCATGTAATTCTACAGACATTATATTTCTTTTTTCTCCAGCATTAAGAAACATATCTGGCCTAATGTTCCAGATCCTTCAAAGAGTCATATTGCCCAATGGTCACCTCATACACCTCCAAGGGTAAGATAATATTTCTGACTTGTTTATACACAGGCATGTTAAGGGTACATTTAAGGAGTTGACCAAATGATGAGACCAAATTGGAAAGTAAATGATAGTAAGATATTATCACAGCATATTCTGATATTCCTTAGTCTAGTCAGTAAACATGAAAAGTACTTGATTGAACTTGCAAATAGAAAAGTTCATGTGTAAATACTACTATATGGCAACTGTGTTAGAAGGCAAGCATTTGGACTGGATATTAAAACCAAATTTAAATCCAATTTAATACTGTTGAAATAATTTCTAGAAACCTAGATTAAATTCTTTGAAATTCTCTAAAAGCACAATAACTGAACTATATTACCTTCTAATAATTCTTGAATTTTATGTTAAACTATGTAACACATTTTAATCTTCTATAAGACTTAAGTCATTTGAGTTTGATTTCTCATGGTTTCTAGTTTTTCTATCCTATTAATCCTAGGCTCTGTACTCTAGCAATGAAATACTCTGTACACCAGTAGCTTATCAAAATTTAACAACAGTGTTGATTTGGAATTCTCATGAAATACAGCCTGATTCATATTTCTCAGAATCATTTCCAACAGTATCTGCAGTTCAGCTAGTTGACAGGGCTTACTGATAGATTATCTCTGCACCATGGGAATTACTGAGAAGTTTCAGAGATGCATTTCTCTGTGGCTTTAACTAGAATTTGCCATATGTGCTTCAGAGTTTCTAAATGAACATATGCCATAGATGATAATACCCTCTTCTTTCTTTCTTTCTTAGCATAATTTTAATTCAAAAGATCAAATGTATTCAGATGGTAATTTCACTGATGTAAGTGTTGTGGAAATAGAAGCAGCAAATGACAAAAAGCCTTTTCCAGAAGATCTGAAATCACTGGATCTGTTCAAGAAGGAAAAAATTAGTACTGAAGGACACAGCAGTGGTATTGGAGGGTCTTCATGCATGTCCTCCTCTAGGCCAAGCATTTCTAGCAGCGATGAAAATGAGTCTGCACAAAACACCTCGGGCACCGTCCAGTATTCCACAGTGGTGCACAGTGGCTACAGACACCAGGTTCCATCGGTCCAAGTCTTCTCAAGATCCGAGTCCACCCAGCCCTTATTAGATTCTGAGGAGCGGCCAGAAGATCTACAGCTGGTAGATAACATAGATAGCAGTGTTGGCAATTTGCCCAGGCAACAGTATTTCAAACAGAACTGCAGTCAACATGAAACCAGTCCAGATATTTCACATTTTGAAAGGTCAAAGCAAGTTTCATCAGTCAATGAAGAAGATTTTGTTAGACTCAAACAGCAGATTTCAGATATTTCACAGCCCTGTGGATCTGGGCAAATGAAAATGTTTCAGGAAATTTCTGTAGCAGATGCTTTTGGCCCACGTACTGAGGGACAGGTAGAGAGATTTGAAACAGTTGGGATGGAGGCCGCAATTGATGAAGGAATGCCTAAAAGTTACCTACCACAGACTGTCAGAAGAGGTGGCTACATGCCTCAGTGAAAAGACTAGTTCCTGTTACAACTTCAGCAGTACCTGTAAACTAAAGCTAATTTTATCTGTTATTTCAGATAAAAATAATCTTCACTCACTGAAGATGATAATTTGCCCTTGAGGACAACAATAAACTGTCCTCCCACATGGGCTGTTTTTCTTCCAGAATATCTGGGATTCTACTTTCAAGCACTACATAAACTGACTTCATCCTCTGAATAGCTGAATGATTTTGTGCTGTTTCAGGATGTTTGCACTGAAGAAAAACAGAAAGCTTGTCTGAAATTTATTAAAGTAAAACTTTGTTTTGGTAGCTAGAAAACAGAGGGTATTTAAATAATAAGCAGTGATATACTTAGCACAGCTATACTGATTTTAATGAGAATAGTCACCAAACACACTGGCTGAGATAGAGTTAAGATTAAAAAATAAGATGAGCAAGATCTAGACTCTACTTCGGCTGACAGCTTAAAGAGATGCAGGTGGCATAATTTTACAAACCCAGTTTTTGATGTCTGACCAAACTCAAACCCCCCCCACCCCAAAAAGTGGGCTTAATTATAATCTTACCAACAGAAAGTAGGACATTCTCTTCCTCTCTTCCATTGGTAATGATGCTGCCAGTAACTAGAAAATGGAATTCTAGAGTCTGAATTTTGCAAATTAAAAAAAATATTTTTGAACATTACATAATCATAAATAATCTAACTAAATTTTCAAAATTTGCTTTCTGTCATTATTTACAAACTCAGCAGACTGCCCAGTTTGGAGGTAGCAGTGAATGCCAAACTGTGTTAACCATTTAAAAAAATTTTTGCCATTTATGAAAATTTATTTATTAACATTTTTCTATAAACATTATGACCCTTTTTGTTAAAAGGCTAGAGAATTTGGTTGATGAAGCACTTTATACAATGAATCTTCACCTTAAAATGTGTTTTAATTTAATAGGTTTTGGTTTTGATTTTAAGTAGGCCAAGATTTGAAGGTTGTTTTTTTTTTTTTCTCTAATTGTGTGAAGCAAACTAAGAGGACATGGGCACTACTTACCAAAATAAAGCACCATCCAAAAATGTACGTGTTGATGTTCGTAAATATCACAGTGCATACCCTTGTTGTAAAGGCACTTAATTAAGGGATAGTATTTTATTAGTATCTGCCAGTTCTGAGGTAGGTTCCCCATTGTGATTTAGATTTTAAGCCTCTCCCCACATGTTCTGTTCTTCCCAGAGAGAAGTTAGCCAGGACTCCAGAGTTAGCACTAACCCCACTTTCACATTTATGCCATACCCTACCTACCCACCACATTTGACAAGGAGGCAGGCAAAAGACAGGAACAAGAAGTATGAAGAAATTTTCATTAATCATTAGTGGTTCACTAGTGCTATCAAGTAGATTTGCAGAAAGTATGTTTTGGTATTCTGTCGTATTTAACTCACAAAGACCAGGCCAACTTCAGATAATTTGTAGAAGTTACTCAATAATAAAAGGCTAAGGAAAGTTGCTATACATTGACAATTGAAATCTAATTTTATTCAGTACTATAAGAATATTGTCCATATTAGACCTCCTGTTTACAAGATATCCTGTGTATTCTTGCCTGCTATGTTTCAGAGCGCTTTCACGTACATGGTCTTGGTGAGATGGGGCAGAGGCATCTTGAGATTGGCAAGGAAGCACATGATGAAGACTGAGCACAGAGAAGCCAAATAGGGACAGAAGGACCCCAAAGTCACACTACAGGATAATGGCACCACCACCATTTAGGTTGGTCAAAGCCTGATCCAAACCAGGATTTCACTGATCTTGCTAGGAGTCTGTCAAGAAATTTCTATCAATTTTATTTTTCATTTCCTCCAAGTAAGTAGTCATGTTATTATAATCATGGTCAGCTCTACCCTTCCTCATGATAAACAGCAGCATTAGGAAGAATTCCAGTGTGACATGTGTACTCGGCGGCATAGGAGCAGTTAGAAAATGTTAACTCATAATCTAAGGGAATAAGAATGAAATCATTGAAGAAAGAACACTGTATAAGCAAATCTGTTGAAACTGGTCCAAACATGGTGCCCTGGGTGTCCCCCAGCTGCCAGGCCACTTTAGACATACTAAATAGTTGCTATACAAATAATCCATTCAGGAAATAGCCCTAGATTCGTTTATTAATATGTGATATACATCTTTGCCTGACAAGAGAAAAGCATTCATCAAACTTGTTTACAGTACAAAACTACTTTCCTAAGCCAGGTCTTAGGATAAATTGGGGTTAGGGGTGGTTTCTTCAAGTTTCAGGGTAATTTGTTTTGAGGCATGAAATTGTATCTTAGGTAGGCAGAGAAACAAATCTGGTTTATATGAAAATGAGTCTATGAGTTAGTGGCTGTGTTACTAACTCTTGAGTATCTAAAAATTTCCTGTAAAGTAATGCTGGCAGAGCCTCTCAATGGACAAAACTAATGCACTGCTTCTGATGCACTTGCCCTCGGATGGGATTAAAAATACAAGTGTGTCACATGTATTGCCACTGTAGTTTGTTCCTGGTGTGTTGGGTATCCCACCCCCTTATAAAGGCATGATGCTGAGCAACTATGGGGAAACACCCAAACCTCAAACCCATTAAAATCTAAAACTTCTTTTTTAAACTTGGATCAGTAGGTCAGCACCCAGGAACATACCCAACATGGAAGTAGAAGCAGGGGGAAAAGCAAAACCATTCACATGTTCTGTGTTCATATCAGTTCTCTACCTGTCTGTTCATTTAATTTCAACCTTACACATGAAGTTACCTAATCTTCCTAGCTTACTGTGAAGTTCACGGTTCATGAAGTAGAAATATACTTGTAAAACATTTATTTATGAAAGCTCATCCTTTAAGTAGAACATCTTAAATAGTTTCATAAATAGAAATCAAATTTTTTAAAATGTCTGTGTTCTCTCCACAGGGTTAACTAGTTAAAATCATGGCAGATAATGTACAAATAGGATAATCGTACATACAATTCTCTAAAACTTGTTAACTGGCATGTATCAACCGAGTATAAGTAGGAGAGCTCTTCTTCCCTTCTGTTATATTCCACATCATTCTCCTATGTTTGGTTTTAAGAAGTTTTTAAACCATATATATCTGTTACTTCATTGAGAGGGGTAGTATGTCAATGTAATAAGCTATATAAAATTTTTAAAATTCAACTGTTAAAAGTTACTGGGATAGCTTCCTGTTGCAGGTCGTGTTCAGTTCTGTTGCCTGAGTAATACTGCTTTAAAAAATTCATTGCACTTTTCTATGTATTGAGACTATGGAGCCATAAAATGGCAAGCTGTTTAACGTAAAATTGTTCATTGTCGGGGCACCTGGCCGGCTCAGTCAGAAGAGCATGCGACTCTTGATCTCAGTGTCGTAGGTTCAAGCCCCACGCTGGGTGTAGAGATTACTAAAAAAAAAATTTTTTTTATTTTTATTTTATGATAGTCACAGAGAGAGAGAGAGAGGCAGAGACACAGGCAGAGGGAGAAGCAGGCTCCATGCACCGGGAGCCCGATATGAGATTCGATCCCTGGTCTCCAGGATCGCGCCCTGGGCCAAAGGCAGGCGCCAAACTGCTGCGCCACCCAGGGATCCCGAGATTACTAAAAAAAATAATAAAGTAAGTAAATAAAATTGGTCATTCTCATGGATTTCGAAGATGGTATAAACTAACGACTTAGAGCCTAATTCTTTTGGCTGGTCTTTTGATAGCAGTTCCTTTTCAGAACTGCTGACTACTTCTAAACAGAATTCAGGTGTAAGTCAAAACAGACTTTCCAGAGCCAAATGTACCATCTTTTCAATCTTTTTTTGTCACATGTGCTCCTAGTATGCATTAGCATGGTATTTTGGTCTACACTGCATTAAAAAGGAAAGAAGGGAACTTAGTGTGAGCTCAATTGGTGTCCATATTTTTCGTAAATTTTTAAGGGCTTTTCGCAGTCAGCAGTTCCTACAAGTGGGTTAGTTTCACTTCATTACCCAGTGCTTTAAAGTTGATTATAATGAAAATGCATTGAAGACCAATGGAGATACATGTCCTAGATCTCTTATTCCTTAAAAAACAAGCTTCGTCTGGATGGTAACTACATGTTTCAAGTGCTATAACATGAATACCAAAATGTGATGTCAAATGGGTATTTTAAAAGCAGATATTTGAAAATTCTTGTCTTAATATATGTTTATTGAATATACTCTAAATAAGTGTGCAATTTGCTAGTATTACAATACAGTGATTAGCATTAGGTATGTATCCTCTTTATATCCCAGCTGTGACCCTTTTACTTGTAAGTGCAATCCTTTCAAGTTCACTTGCTATTTTACCCCCACCTAGTCTACCTTCACGTAGAAGGCTTGCCTAGAGAGTATTGTACGTATTTTCACTTGTGTAGTGAATTGCATGTGCCAATTGTTACCGTAGTTATCAGTCTTATGTTAACAAGTCTAAATGTTACTGTAAATGTATCAGCTCTAATCTTTCAAGTAAATTTAAGAAATAAATTCTTGTTTAAATTTTTTTCTGTGTGATCACTAATGTGATGTAACTGCATGTAATGTTTGAGAAAACTTATTTGTCACTACTGCTGTTGGGTCTTAGTGTAAACTAGATGCTTTTAGAGGTTTCTTTGGCTTTTTAAATGTTCATTTAGCATAATGGAATGGGTTTTAGAAGAAAATTAGTACATTATCTTGGTCTTAGTAACATGGAATGGACTGAGAGCTTGTAAATCTGGAAAACTGTTAAATGAATTTGCCAAGTTGAGTTCTGGAATCCAACCATCATACCGCCTCCCAGTGGGTTTTATTTTTTGGTTTTGGTTTTTCTGTTGGGCTGCCGGCGGACCAGCCAAGTGCAGAGGTACTGCGCCATCTAGTGGCTGGCCCGAAGCCACACTGCTAGAGTCTCCTTACTGGCAGAGGCATGAAGCCAACTGAAGACGCAGCATCCCACTGCTACCCTGAGGTTGCTGAGTAGTAGTACGTAAAACTAAGTCAACAGTTCCACTTGGAAGAAAGCCCTACACTATTAGATTTGCACATCTTCTCATTGTGATTTTATCTAAAATATGCAGGGAGTTAAATCCACAAACCAAGTTAACTTCATCACCTCACATAGGTACTACAGGTTACAAAAATAATCTGGTTTTGGGCTAAGTGTTCCTGTGTTTAAAATACCTCATTTGACCCTAACAGGCTCAGCCTGACTTCTTAGTAGCACTTCTTGTCATTTATGTCATTTATATTATGCATCCAATACCTGCTTCCAGGAAGATTACAGACTTCCCTCAGCATTCTGTTCCCCTAGCTCAGGGGCAGAGACAACTTTGAGTTGTCTGTAATGAGTTAGCTCAGAAGCCTGCCTTCCCCCGCCAGCCCCTGCATTTGCTCTTAGCACACACAGCAGCACCCCAAAGGGAGGTAAATGTACTGGAACTTAAAAACAAGAAACAGAAACAGGAAGGAAGGGAGAGAGGAGGAAAGGGAAGCAAAAGGGTCCTTCCTTCCTCAGCAGAATGCATTTTAACCCAACGCCTGCTGCCTCTTGGGGCTCGAGGGGAGGTGGAACCCGGCGCACTGCAGCCCGTGACAAGAGGCTCTGGGGGCAGGAGCCCTTTCCTGAGGGCCCAGGTCCCACGTGTCCTGCCCCTGCCGTCCTGCCACGCCGCCCACGCCGGCGCCCTGGGCTCACACCCGCCCGGCTTGGCCCCGCCCGGCTCCTGCCGAGCCGCTAGGGGGCAGCACTGGCGGCGTGAAAGGCCTGCCGCTGTCCAACGACTCGCAGCCTAGGGCCAAACACTGGCTTTTTCGGTTCTATCACCTTTCCTGGTCGGGCTGTGCCTCTCTTTCCAGCCTCGTGTAGCCTCCTTTCTAGAGCTATACCCTCCAGTTGCTGGAACACAGTTTTCTCCTACCTCCCAGGCTACACACATGATTTTTTTTTCTTCTAAAATGTTCTCCTAGGCCCAGTCTCTTGTTTAGCTAGAAAATTTCTCACGTATTGATGGAGAGACTCCCCTAGATCCTCCTGGGTGGGATCTTTCACTCTTCTCCTCTTTCTCCCCAGGCTTGATGGCCTTCCACGTCCCGAAACCACACTGATGGCCAGTGCTTGCCTCCAACCTAGGAGCCACACCCCTGGAGGCAGGTTCCCTGTTTCATCTCTGAGTCCCTGGCACCTAGTATGTCAGGTGGATGTAGGTGCTTGGTAGATCTTGCTTAGAGGAAGAAATCAAAGCGTGAATATCAGATTTCCAAATTCGTTAGTCAAATTCTTTTTTAGCACTGGTGTCAGGTTTCTTTTTGCCCAAGGGTGCGCGGTGCCCAGGCAGTCAGGGCCTTGCCTCTCCTCCACCTCCAACATGAAAGCACCCCCTGATTCCCACCTCTAACCAGCAAGGGCTTAAAGGCTTTTCTAAAGCAACACAGATACTCGTGTCAAAAAATAACCCCCCCCAAAAAAAAAAATTTAAAGCCGGGATGGATCCTTACAGCTTCTTGTTCCATCTCCTCATCCCTCAGACAAGGACCATGAGAAGACAATCCAGTAAACATTGCCACACCACAAGAGGGGAAAACTCAATTTGGAGGTGATTACACCAGAAAAAGACAACAGAAGTTGTCAGAATAACTCTCAGAAGTTATTCTGGAGAGGAAGATGAAATAAACACTTTGGATGAGCCTTAGCCTTAAAAAAAAAAAAGAGTACATCAGAAAAGGAACATTAAGTGCAGACTAGGGAACCCAGGTTCTCGGTTACCTCAGGGCTTGAATATAAGGCAGCCCCAAATAAAGAGATATCTCCCAATTTTCCCTTAAGAAAAACCTGAAGAAAATTTTTGAACACGAATGTATACCTTTTATAAATGTTGCTTAAATCGCTGCATGTCTGCCTCTAGTTGCTATTTTAAATCAGACAATATCCAATACATCAGGACAAAGTATTGATTTTTCACTCATGAAATAATTCTATCCAAATCTTTCTGTGCTCATGGACAACAGGGTTTTCCCTTGTCATCACCAGTTCCTCTTTTTGAAGTATCAGCACAGTTTTCCAGAGCTCATCCGTGTCACTGCCACACAGCTGAGACAGAGCGTGATGCAGCTGTCGGGAAACAGACTCCCAGTCCTGAGTACCCACTTGTGTAATATTGACAGTTTCCCCAACTGCCTCAGAAGTGGATATGCATTATCCCCATAAGGTAACTGCTTACCATTTTGCTTTTTAAGAGAGTCTTTAAAAAAAAAAAAAAACTTCCTTAAAATGAAATCATATATATTTAATAGTGAGCTCATACCATGGGAGTGATTACTAAATCTGTGGGTTTTGCCTTTGGCTCTATTTATGGCAATTCTTCTGGTGATCTCCACTAAAACTCCCAAACTAAGCCTAATTGAGGTCTTTTCCATTTATGAGTCTTTCCCAAACACTCCTATTTTCAAACTGAAAAAGAGCATGTAATAAGAGCAACTTTGCAGGGAATTTATTTTTAGGTGACTCCTCCTTTCCCTGGAAATGATTTTAAGGAAAGTACTCATTTCATATTCAGGCAAAAATCTGTTCATTAGGCATGCCTTCCTGGAAGAAAAGAACTTTCTATAAAACTTTGAAGAAGTGATGGGCATGGATGGATCAAAGAAGAGAGATCAGTATGTGCACACTGTTCTCAAGTTAATGCTGCCTTTCTTCTCTGGGTCAGATTCAACTATAATTCTTTTTATAATATGAGATTTAAATTTCAAAACTAGGTCAACCATAATTCTTTTTTTGTAGTAGGATATTAAAATTCCAAAACTGTAATAGGAGATCAAAATTTCAAAGGAATTTTGTTGACCTTTCTAGCAACACCAGATGTTACCAGCCCTACTTCCGGCCCACAGCCAAAAGTGCGACTTTCTCAAGCAAGGACCCTAAGTGTCCTAACACTACTACTCTCAGGCTGGCCACGGTCAGACTGATCTGCAATCCACAGTCCTATCATCCTGCACTTTTTCTTCACCCAGGACAGAGATAGGAAGGCCTTCTAATCATGGATCTCTGACCACAGTTGAGGAAGGTTCAAGACAAATATCCAATTGCAAGCTTTTTACTGATTTTGAGGCAACATTTGAACAGGATTCTCTCCTCTCCTAAAGAATCATGGAAAGCAAACCAGCCCCGTTTCTAAACAACAAGGCTCTATGCAAATAATCCTGCAGGTGAGAGTCTCTCCTGACCCCATGATAATCCAAGTGTCAGGATTTGATAATGTCAGACAGCCTCCCTAGGACCTGTCATAGCACAAAGGGAATAGTTAGAAAAAAGAATGAGCAGGACAGACAGGAGCTTGGTGACAGGCCTGGCTTGAGGCCATCCTGACACTCAGGATAGGTCAGTAAAAGAGGCACTGGGTGCATATGCATGGCCTTAAGGGTAAGCAGGTGCCTCCCTTGTTCCCATCTTGCTTGGAGAAGGTGTAGCTCTGGGATTTCTGTCAACTCATGAGACTGGGAGTATTCCAGGTTCTCTAGCTGGGCAAGTGGGGTGACCATGAGATTCTGGATAAGGAATGGACAAGAGAGAGTAAAGTCTGGGGGAGGACAAATGTTACAAAAAGCTTTGTTGATGCTGATGAAGGGTGACACAGGAAGGCAAAGACAGCTCACTAGACATCCCAGAAACCACACTGCCCAACAGGAAAGAGGTAAATGAGCCACAAGGTGAGACACAGGCTATACTTCTTTTGATGCTGTGAATAATGTGCCCAAGGAGAGACATCTTGCAGATAATGAGTGAAGCCTAAGGATCTAGGTCCCTGGCTTATGACACCAGGCCCTATCTCCCCTCTGTAGTAGTACTGGTAGGTTTCTGTCTTGGGGAGGCCATTTTATTGATTGCAGGGGCTCCTGTCTATGCTATGCCTCTGGCTGTGCCCACTAGCTGGAGAGGGTGAAGCCAACAGGAAGGAAGCGTTTCCTGGATGTGACTAGATAGGAAACCTCACAAGGGTATCTCCATGCAATCACTAATGGCCAGGAGCTGAGAAAGAGCTCATTTCCCTTTTTAAGACAATTGTAGTCAATACCCCTGCCCAATCAATATCTACCTGTATCCCTCCTTCCTATGTTCCAGCATCCACTGACTAGCCTTTGAGAGCACAGCCCTGAGACTACAGGCCTCAGCTGAGATTCTGTTTGTGGAAAGCATCAAGAAAAATGGTAGAGAAGGGGGTAGGAAAATGTGGAACTCCTGCCCCAGCTGCTCCCCGGTTTTTCAGTAACAGCCAAGTTCACACCCCTTGCCCCCACCCCAGAATTTAGCCATCCCAATTACACACTCTGACCCACATAGAAATGAACAAACTGCAAGATTACCCATTAGAATCAGCAGGGACTTTGAAGGCACACTAACTTGGTACCACTTCTCTGACCCTCATTTTAATAACAACAATAAGCATACACCAACCAACTGGATAACCCAGACATGAATAAATTCCTAGAAACACACAATTTACCAAGATTGAATCATGCATGGGAAAT